ACAGCATGCGGCGATGCTGAGATCCCTCATTCGGAAAATCTTGGAGGAGAGCATCTCAATGTTTTGCACGATACGACATCAGCATCGATCCTTGATTTCCAACTACGGTCGTCCATGTTTATGGGACTTCAATACTCTTCAAGCGATTCTTGAATTGCTCTTGTCAGATTCGACTACTCCGGACATAGTAGCCGTCATAGACGGTCTAGATGAACCTGAGGACGATCGAATACACGGCCCATCAAGATCATCTGTTTTGGACATGTTACTAAGAATAACTGCCAAGTCGCCAAGGCGAGTTCGCACAGTCTTGCTCAGCAGACCTACACCCGAAATCATGAGCAGGCTCCGCTATACAAGGATATATCGCATTGTTACAGAGCAACATAACCATGTCGACATATCAGTCCTGATCGAAAGTGGCATCCGCAGACTCAATATAAATCCGAACAGCCTCAACACCGAGGAAGAAGATATGCGCCAATTACACAGCACATCCAATCATTCAATGTCACATCCACAAACAGGATATATGAATGATCTTCAGAAATATCTCAGCGACAAGGCACGCGGTGTCATTCTCTGGGTGGTCTTGGTCTTTGAACAGCTTGAGACGCTTTTCAGAAGCAGCTACGGCTTCACAATGAGTGATGTGAAAATATCACTTGACAAGTCACTTGCATTGAAACAGTTCTTTTTGCACGTCCAGCCCCAAAACCTTCAAGATCCCCAAGCTCGTCATCATCTTCTGAATGCCAGAAAGTTTCTTTCATGGATAGTCGGCTCGCGGAACAGAACAGAATTTCAACTCCGTGAGCTGTGGGAAGCAGTAGCGATTCCCATACCCGAAGACAGTCTTAATGGCCGTTCGCAGTTCTACAACACCGATGTGTCTGCTAGAACCATAAACGACCGAAGATTTCAAATTTGGGGTGACTGGGAGAAGTTCTCTCGAATTATCTTTCGTCATTGCGGATTTCTAGTGGAAATCGTGCCGGCAAACGGATTGATATCTCGATCTGCAATTCACGGCACTAGAGTCGACCCATCCGAAATTTCCTCTGCGTGGGTAGCTCAGCTATTTCATGATACTATCAGCACACTTCTTCAAAGCAGAGAAGTAAGCGGACAATTTTTCATCGACGCTAACGCCGCCAACGCAATGGTGCAGTCAGTATCTCACCAATATCTTGGTCTTGCCGTTCCGCAGCTGAATGCCCCTCCTATTCTGACACCAAATACTGAAGGCAGCAGGGGAGCACTGGACGCCATTTTGACGTCCTCTAGAACGTCCGATGGTAGAGCTCTCGACCTTTTAGCAACGAATGCCCTTTGGAAAGCAAGGTCAATGCTTCGATTTGCTCTGGAAATGGTCATGCAGAATTATGCCCTTGATTCAATGATGGATACTCTGGCAAATGTCGATCGAGGCCCAATGAGCCCAGACCATCGTCTGGTTGTCTGCTGGTCCGCAGATCTCTGCTTCACGCCGGACACTTCCAAGACAGAGATCCGCACAATCGTGCTTACTTTCTGCCTTTCCGGTAGACACGACATTCTTGAAGCCATATCTCGACAAGTACAGAACTTCAAAGAAAACTACCGGTATGAATGCGGTCAAAGATTTGAGTTCAGCAGATTTGTGGAGATCATCAAAGCCGTCATCGAATGTGTAGGGCATTTGAATTCTACTCATCTTAAAGCTTGCACCGATCGCAGTTGCTGTCTTGGGTGGCTTTGCATCCAACGGAACCATCTATCTGATAACGATTTGAAGGAAGATGCCATCAAAGCTGGTATTCGCAACCTTAATGAAGTTTTCATGGTGGACGCAGGTGCGGGAGCTTTACCCGGAAACATCACTCGCCTCGGCAGCGGCGTTTTCAGCTCTGACCAGACTGGATCAGTTATGCGAGCCGTCCATGAAGCAGTGAATTTAGCAAAACAATACTCAGCATATCACAGGTGGGATTTGGAGGAGCGCTTCTCACACTCCTCAGCCTTCTCAGAAGGCAACGAATTCCCTCAAGATCAAAGCAACGGGAAGTAGACACATGACACGTCGCAATTAGCATGCAATTGCAAAGCAGGTCAATAGAAATGAAAGGCTTCAAGGCCATTTGTCAGCTATGCTACAACTTACGAGCAAACAAAAATATACGTCATGCACCCGAAACTTCAGGTACAACGTACCATAGAGATTCGACCGTCTCTTCCATGGACATGAAGGAAGCAATAAACTTCGCAATTCATGTTTGTTGCATATCTGCCTATTATAGTCACATGAAAAAAATAAAGGCTAAGGGAGTGAGGTAGGCTTGAGAATCTCTTGGCAGCCTCTAGATAGGCAGCAGATTGCCGAAGCTGTTTCCAGAGCCAAGATGCGAAATTCAGCCGGAGCATATTGATGAGCACCGTCGCTAGAAGTTTCGCACTATCTCGGAATGGCCGTCTGTTGACCTGTCACTTATAGGGCTGGATCATGACCCCCACCTATGTACCTATGGGCCAACCGCCCTTCCAGGGTGCTGTCTGGGAATAGCGGCATGCCAACGGGATCGGCCGCTGCCGAAAGATTAAGCGATAGAGATGAGCGGGGCGCCATGAGTATCTTGGTAGCAGGATGGGTGATAGAATAGAACCCCAATCTGCTTGGGATTCTTGTGAACCTCCTCCTTTTTCCCTAGATATTCCATCTTATCATCGATTTGTCGCCCTCGTGCCGATGGAACTCCTTGACCCGTCATCGTACAGTGTGCCGAAGAAGCCACATGAAGCTGACAGACGCACTTCTCTTACGTCCGGTAGAATGGGACCCTTAGAATTGTGTAGCCTCTATCAAATCATTACCAAGACCGCTACTGGGTAATAATTACGCGAAGCCGAGACCGAAGAAAAGAGCAGTACACGGGACCAATTCTGCGCACGATGGAACTTGACCTCTTTCCCTTCCCCTGGAATGGAGGTTCAGCCTAACAAGGCGCCGTATTCATATCGAACTGACAATTACGGCAGAAGGCACGCCATAATACTGAGAATTCATCGGATACTGACTTGACACGCCCCGGGATGGACGGGAACTAGTCTTTATCAGTCCACAGGGGCATGCCGCAACTTGTCATGGCTCTTGGTGCACAGACTCTCTGAAGGTCCCGGTGTTGGCGCAGTACAATACACAGGGAGAGGGAGCGAATGAATATACGCGTATCCTGGCAATGGGACCAGTGGGGTTTTTTAACAAAGTTTAAGCTGTTAGTTGCCAGAATTCATCCCATTGTCTCTCTGGGCGGGGATCCACCTTAGATTGCTTCCCACTTCAGCTGTCACAGATTTAGAATGCCATCGATCATGACTCCAGTCGTACATTGACCAAAATCCTTCTTCGACTTTCACATCCACTGCTATTCTTCGCATTAGCCTTGAGACAAGCAAGAAACAGCGCGAGAATTTCCGCACATATCCCGACTTGACTTCGCAGAATTCGTTCTAGGGTCAAAGCTACAACCAATGTGTGAAGATGTCCCCATCTGGTTCCCTGAGTCACAAACCTGTCACTAACCTCCAAGTGAGTCGCCAGGCATGAACTGACTTCGGCGGGGCCGTCTCCCCATGTTCTAAAATCAGTACAGGATATTCTGGTTGTGTTCCTAATCCACAGACCCCCCGCACTACCCCTAAGAGACATTCTAACTGGATGAACTGCATAGTACTCTTGGCTAAAGAAGGCTAAGTTAGGAAAAACTACCCAGTTTCAAGAGCTCTGCCCAGTAGGACGCCCTGCTTCAGCGGATTACGACTTTAATGAGATTGCTTGTACGGTTGGCAACTCATCCTATCCTTGGAGTATGTCATAGACGGCAATCAGTCGGTATATAACATTTGGACTCTGTTCGCATTTTAGAGTTATCTCGATGCCCCAAACACCCGTCACTCATTTCTTTTGACCTTCGCGCAGCTCTCGCGCAGCTACCACCTAATATCTGACCATATTCAATCTTTTAGCTCAATATGCTTTTCCAACACCTTTGCGCTTTTCTGCTCGCGGTCATTCCGCTGACCTCCGCGGCAGTTATCCGTCCGTTCGCTGTGAGTATCCATCAGCTCTAATCGACAACCGGTCGCTGACAAAAACACAGAAAAACAACGCCTACTGGGTGGACGTCACAAAGTCTCGAGGCGGCCAGGTGTGGGACTTTGCCGTCTACGGCGACGGGTACGCCAAATTCGACGACGACGGCGACCGCAAGAACCTCGACTACGTGGAGGTCGACACCACAGCCAAGCGCCTGACCGTCCACAACGCCCAGAACGCGTTCGATACCACCAAGCCGCGTCTCAAGATGCGCGAGGTCCTCAAGGAGTGCTGGACGATGGCATCCCTTCAGCCGGCCGAGCTGAAGGAAGTGGCGGCCACCTGGATCCAAAACGAAGACATGAACAAGGCCCTCGCGGACTGCCGCACGGAGTTGAACAAGGGCCCCAGGGGAAATTTCGAGGTGTCGGCTACGGACGGCGGCAGCGCTCAGAAGGCATGCTGGGCCAGACTCGGAAAGACCATCTTTGCCGCTTCCATCACGGGCGCTATTGCGGACTTCGACATCAACAAGAAACTTGTCAAGATGGAGGTGACAAACTCGTGGACAGGAGATGACCTCCTCTTTACTTTCTCTGCTTAATGGGTGATGGCGGACAACGTATAGAGACCCATGAAACAAAACCAAGAGGTCTGCGGTAGAGATTCCTGGAGCAGTCTTCAAGTAGTTGCAATATACCCAACAGACCCTTTCACTCGTATCCGCTGCTCGTATCATGATCTTTATCTTCTCTTCGACGGAAAGACTGTCTTCTCATCAGAGCACTGTGGACATTGGCAAATCTTGCCTCGCTTATATTTGTTGTCGCATTTGACGGCAACGAAGAAATAAACCACATCTGCGTGCGTGGAATCATAGAGACAAAATATAAGAACAATGTTTTGAATATTTTTAAACTTGGTATCTTTACAACATCATTGCCACCGCCAAACCGAAGCCAACCAGGCTTCCCATAGCATCAACCCGAGCGCCGGCCGCAGTAGGCAGCGACGGCGTGCTCGTTGTAGTCGTTCCATTACGGCCACGAGTCCCGGTGGGAGCAGGCGGTGTCGGGGTCGACGTGTCAATCAATAAAGTTGTCGGCACGGTCATGACAGTAGTCGGAGGCAGGATAGCCGAGCCATCATCACTGGTAACCGGCGCTGCGGTGGGAGCCGAGGTAGGCGCCGAGTCCGGAGCGGAGATGGGTACGGACGCAGGCACTGAACTTGGGGCTGCACTCGGCTTCGCAGAGGCTACCGGCTTTGAAGGCTGGGCCGAAACGGGCGTTGTCACGTTCAGCTCGGTATTCCACGTCGCGAGAACACACTGCTTCATGAGATCGTTGTCCGTGTAGCTGTTGCCGGACTTCTTCGGCGTCAAGCTGAGGACGTAGTCGGTGCCGAAGCTGCCGGCGGCCCACCCGACGAGGCCAATGAACACGTCCGAGTTCTGGTTGATGAAGGTGTTCTGCGCGCAGAAAGCCGTGAAGCACTGGTATATGTCAGCCCTATGCTCTCGGTTGCGTCGATCATACGGGAAAATCATCTGAAACTTACCGAAGAATCACTCGAGGCTCCTGTCTCGCTGACCAGCCCCTTACGGCCCTTGGACCGCAGATACTCAGCAACAGTCCTGAAACTCTCCACATTATCCGTCGTGCACGGCTTGTGCGTGCCGCTGTTGTCCTCGTCCAGGTACTTGTGCACGTCGATGATGAGGTTGTCGGTAGTGCCGTCGGGGTTCGTGATGGCCATCAACGCATCCGCGCTGCCGCTGCTGACGAGGAACTCGGCCGAGTTGAAGTTGGTGCCGGGCAGCAGGATCATCTGCTTCGTTGCGCCGGCTCCGCGAATCGCCGTGACGACCTTCTGGCAAGTCGCGGCCCAGATCTTGACGTCGAGGTCGTGGGGCTCGTTCATGAGCTCGAAGACGACCTTCTCGTTGTCCTTGTACTTCGTCGCCAGCTGCGTCCACAGAGACACGAACTGGTCGTCCGTCGGTCCTCCCTGCCCGATGATGCCGCCGTTCCATCGCGCGAAGTTGTGGATGTCGAGCATACAGTAGGCGCCGGTCGCGAGGCACTTTTGCATTACTTGATCGTATTTTCCCAGGTTGCCGGCGTTGAGGGTGCCTCCGAGCTGATTGTTGACGAGGAACTGCCAGCCGACGGCTGAGTGGTGTTAGTGGGATGATCATCCATCGCAGACTTAAGGGTGCATACGCAGGCGGAACATGTTAAGCTTGTCATCGTTGGCAAAGTGATTCATCTGACCCTCGCCATCACCGCCGCCGAGAGAGCTGAGAGGCAGCTGGGTCTTGCCGGTAGGGCAGCTTCCCTGTCATGGATCGTCAGCACCCATCATCAACACCAGACCTAACGTCATGACTTACATCGATCTCACAACCAAAGTCACCACCGGATATCGCAACTCCCTACAAGCCAAAGTATTAGCTGTCGTCCCATGTCTCGCAGATCATATGACTTGCCAAGAACTGCACCCTGGCGACCGCCGCCGCCGCCAACCCCAAAAGCGTGAGTGTCTTCGAGACCATATTCGAACCTGAGCGAATGAAAAGAAGCGAATGTGAAAGTAGACGGTTACTGGGTAACCAAAAAGAAGGGATTCAATCCGAAGAATGAAAAGAAAAGAAACAGCGCGTGGCCTGGAAGAAGCGAAGGTACAGACGCAAAAGGGGCCTTGGTGTTGCAGCAAACTCCCAAAAGGAGAACCAAAGGTTGTTCGCAAATGGGACGGGCGGCGAGCCGCATTACATATTCCTCTCCTTGCCCCTCGGTGGGATGACCATGGAACACCCACGCATAAGAATCGATCACAGGGAAAATGCTCGTGCACCCAAGAATAGCAGCTTCCATACGACCATCATTTGCTGACGGGGACGGCAGAGAGTGGATATTGTTGGCTCCTGTCCCCCAATCGTGCGCACCCGGACTGAGCGAACAGAGAGAGAAAAGCCAAGCCCCAGGCATGCCATCTGATTGATGGTCGTTTCTGTGCGACAGATTCATGCGGCGAGCGCCACGAAGCCCGGTCGGACGAGGGCCTGCATCAGACGGTGGGAGTTTCATGTGCGGGCACCAAAGCCAGGGGATCCCGCGGGTCCTTCCCCAGGGCGAATACCACCTTAGCAAGTCGAAAGAAGACCAGACTAGACCTTTTTCTCTCTCTTCTGCACTGACGGGTTGCCGAAGCAGTGGCACACTGCCCACATTGTGTGGAAATCAAGCGATTGGCGATAGGGCTCGCGGGGGATTCGACGCCATGGATGGATCTTGGGGACGGTCTTGAGCCTTGGCCGGAGAGTGCGACTTCAAGCAGGTTAGATCATGAGCTGCGGGAGAGCGAAAAGATGTGCCTAGAGGCGCTGGGGTCTCGGGCTGGCCGGGGTGCAGCAGGATGACCCGCCGGTGCGGCGAGTCGAGCGTTCCAAGTCAACGGTTTGCAATTGAATGCGGCTTAGATTCGATTGCTGCGAATGGAAGTTGCAAACGGCGTCAGCCCCAATGCGCCACTTCAATGTCACTGTGATTTGAAGGATGATGGGCGATCAATCGAAGATGTTCATGCTGAGCGCGCGATGGGCTCAGCTGACTCAGTGACAGAAGAGCGAGAACATGAGCCAAGAGACGATTGAATCAACAAACGGCAGCCGATTCTCGGGCCGATGGCGTTGGTCGTATTGCTCGGGATGTTTGCTTCGTGATTATAAACGACGTCACACGGCAGCATCGCAAAGTGACCTTGCGTTCATCGTGACCTCTTGTCATGGATACGTCTTCTTGTCAGCTCCATTCTGGCACGAGCCTGAAGTGCAACGGCGCGAGCACTGATAACTAAATTGCGGGTGTTGGTCGACATCCAGGGGCAGCCCAGCAAGCCACGAGAGCCTCTAAAACTAGGGCGCCGCCGCTAGAGAGGGTTCAAAGACACACATGGCGTTTAAAATGTCCGTGACAGCCGACACATCGTTACGCTCGTCGGTTTCTCTGCTTTGTCTCGCAACAGCTCGTATTGAAGACTGTAACGGCGCCATTTGTGGCCTTCGAGAAAGTGACCTGTTGTGCTATGCTGTGTTGCCAGAGGGAGAACTCTCCGCATCCGAGGCGTTCGGGAAACTTTGCCGACGCGTGTCCCAACGGCTCGAACCCCCTGGCATGCAATCAACGCCAGACCGAATGAGAAGATCTTGATCGTCTGATGAAAAGAAAAAAATCTTCCGAAACTAGGGGCACCGACGGGATGGATGCAGTTGATCCTGATGGATGGATTCGTCGAGAAGACGCCCAAAGCGGCAATGATGAAGGGGAAATGGCGGGCACGTCGCAGGTGAAGCAATTTTGGCTGGTCAGACATTTCCTCAAGCCACGCGACGACCCCTCCATCTCTTGATTAGTAAGTCATTTCCGGTGTCTTTCGAGATGCAGGCCCACTTGGCGTTTGAGGTTTCTGTTTCTGTTGTTCATTCATGTTGAGATGTTTCCCATCTTCGAATCTGAAAGATGCCAAGAGGCCATTTCCTTGCAAGTACTCTTCAGCAGAATTCTGTTGCTCTTCTTCGTAAGGATCACCGATAGCGGACTGCGTCCTACTCGTCGCAATGGTTGTCTCCAATGGTATCATAGTGGGGCGCGCGGGGAATGTAATGAACACAAAGATAAATACCAGATGAAAGTAGCATGATGACTTCATGAATTAGAAACAACGTCAATTCGCATATTCTTCGACTGTCATCAAGAGCTAAACTCAACAATCTTCAAATCAAACATCTCAAAATGGCTTCCTCAAAGCAGAATCCGCCCCTCCTTGATCATATCGTCATCCTCTTACCCCACCAAGTCCTCGCCAACCTCCCACCCTGGCTCTCGGACGAATTCACCATCCTGACCGGCGGCCGCCATGCCGATGGCCGCACCGAGAACAAGCTTGTAATCTTCGCCGACGGGACCTACCTGGAGCTCATCTCCTTCGTCGAGGGTATCAGCCCGGAAGAACGGCTCAAGCACAAATGGGGCGCGAAGAAGGATGGAACCATCATCGACTGGGCCTACTCTCTCGTCGACGAGTCTGGCTTCTCCGCGATCCAAAAGCGAGTGAACGCCGCGCAATTCCTGGCATCGTACGACGACCCCGTCCCGGGCGGCCGGATCAGACCGGACGGCGAGGAGCTGAAGTGGGCCGTTGCGCTGCCCGGGCCGGAGGGAAAAGTGGAGCGGGGCGAGTTGCCGTTCTGGTGCTTCGACCGGACGCCGCGCAAGTTGCGGGTGCCGGATCATGTTGAAAAGAATGTGACGCATCCCAGCCACGCACTGGGAGTTCACTCGGTTGAGGTTGATGTCAGCAGTGAGGACTTCAAGAAGGCGTATGCTGGTATTATCGGACAGCCCGGGCAGGGAGAGAATAGCGGCACGTGGGCATTTGACGTTCCGATTCGCCAGTTCGAGGACCCCAGACATATTCAAGTGACTGTTTCTGAAGGGAAGTCACTTGAGGGATCTATTCGTCTGGCGTTGTACACCGCTAAGGGCACAGAGAAACGCGAAATTCGTGGAGATCTCGGAGCCGGCGTGTCAGTGAAGATCGATCTGATCCCAGTCTCTGGTAGTGCTTGATTATTATACAGAGGTACTTGGAAACTCAAATTCACGACTAAACTGACTATCAATACACTGTACCATGATGTATACCGCATCAAACTACGTCCCTCTAGCTGGCTCCGTCACCGCAATTCAACAGGGATCAGTCTTTTCAATCCCTCCGACGACCACTTAATGCTGGCAATGATGAAATATGTGATAAGTAATCGAAATTTGGAGTGAAATCATTGGCTATTACCGCCCAGACAGAGCTCCAAGTCCGCTCACCTCCACCTTGTCATATGTTCTTACAAGGCTCGTGGTTCCCGGCCCGGATTCAACCCAATTACCATGAACCTGGCCCTTGGTCTTGAACGGCAGTTGCACGATCGCCACGGGCTTCTCAAAGCTTCTGGTATCCAACACCACCAGCTCACTTCCATCCACGTCATGATGATGAACCATCCCCAAGACCCAGCCGTCACCCTCGGATGCTTCGTTCGATCGCGGGATGAAAATAGGCTCTTCCACAGTACAGTTCGGCCCGGGGTCAAACAGGATCTCCTTGCCTTCGTGCTTTCCTGACTTACTCACGAGCATGTACCCGTTCAACCCAACGGGTAGGATCGGCGGAGCGGAAGATGCCTTGTTTGACATGATGACAGGCAAAAAGATGTTGTTGTATGATTGCGTTTGGAATCGCTCATCAATCCGTGCCATCTCGCCCGGTAGGTCAACGATCACCGTGGGGTCAACCGTCTTGGTCTTCGTAGGCTGGCTCAAGTCAATGGACCACCGCACGTAATCAGCCTTCATATCGCCGAACGGGTTTCCCTCCGTAGGCGTTTCGAACATTGGAAAGGGGCTGTACATCATTCTCGAAGACTCCATGGAGATCTTGACGCTGTTCGCACCTTCATCCCACTCTTCCCAGGCTCCGGCAGTGTGCAGAAGCATGGCGTGCTCCCAGTGATACACGCGATACTCGCCGGGGCTCCAGCCTGCCGGCAGTCGACTTGACGCGCGTCGCGGAACAACCACGAAGGTTGCAGGGCGATCTCTCTTGTACTGCCAATGATGGCCTCCAGCCTTCATCTGAGTCTCGTCGGCATCGTACGGCCACAGGACTAGGATGATGAAGTTCTCCGTGATGGCACAGTCGTGTATGAAAGCCAGCCAAGGCGACTTCACCCACTGCTCGTCGCGGACTTTGCCCTCTTTGTCAAGGGTGTAGATTACAATGTCGTCCGTGCAAAGTCCTTTAGCTTCGTAACCGAACACAACCAGCTTGTTGGTATACGGATCAAACTTTGGGTGCGCAGAGAATGTCAAGCCTGGGGACTTGAACGGGTCGTAACCCAGGGTTTCGAGAGTGTTGGGGTCGATCTCATATGGCAGCGCCGATTCCTTGAGGGCCAGAAGCTTGCCTGCCCAAAAGACAAGGTTTGTGTTGGCTGTTGAGTCGATGGCAGCCCGAACACATGGGTGGTGAGAGAAAGGATTGCGGTAAAGACCAAAGAGTCGCTTTTTGGCATGTCTTTCCAGTCGGAGACGCTCAGTGTCGACGTATCGTATTTTCAAGTCGACACGACCATCTTGAATCCGGAACGCGCAAACGTTGCCGTCCCCCTCGATAGGTGGATTTTCTTCGGGAGGAGGGTAAAAAGGGTCGACGAGGATACGATAGAAGGTGCCGCTGAGTTGGCTAGGGATCTTCCCAAAGACGGGAAGGTCTTCAACCTCACCCTCAAAACGTCCTTTGACGCCGTGATCTGATGGTCTCAAGTGGCGAGACCAAGCTGATTCGAGGCCAAAGACCTGGTTGGCACCGTTGGCACCGTTGGCGCCGTTGGTTTTCAGGTGTTTTTGTTCCATGATAGAGAAAGTTCTCCAGACTTGACTTGGGGTAAAAAGATAGTTACGATGATTTTGAGAATTCGATGAGGCTTGATGAACCGGTGGGATGCTTCGAAAACAAGCTGACCTCATCACCAGCTGGACAGCACTTTTCTTTTATGCTTCATCTTACAGCAGCCATCTACATCACCACAGCCGCCCAGTGAGACGCCGCGGATTTCTCATCAGCAGTCTCAAGGCCGTCAAAAAACATCCGGATCCGAAGTTCATGTTTGTAACCAAGACTCAGTCCTCTCTGACCCGGCCTCCAGGCCAGCTAGCATAAGGCCGTGCGCAACTGCCGTGGTCAAATGCCGTTTCATTCCTAGTCGTGATCTCCAGGACACGGAGGCAATTGCACGAAGACTTGCCGTTCCGTCTCAACTTGAGAAGGTGTAGGTCGGCGACCTGCGGACATGACTAGTGGGTAATGAACTACCTAGAGAAGTAGCACAACCCGTCCTTGGCGCCGTCCAGAATGGCCAGGAACTTCAGACGACTATTAATAAGCGGCCATTCATTGGGACTGTAGCTGGTAGGCATGCCTGACATCAGATGGTCTGACGATCCCGCTGAGCTAAGCGGCGAAACATGGCAGTCCGCCCATGCGGCGGGTGTGGGGTTTTGAGGCTCACCGACGGTATCAAACGGAAGACTTGCAACCCGTGAGCTTGGCTGGTTATGACGACCTCAAGCAACGAAGATGGAAAGTTTCCGGTGGGATTATGTGAATATTTTCGGTATGTGGGCGAGCACTAGTATCGACATCTTTACGTTGTCTGCGCACATAATTATCTGGACCATCGCCGTAGACTTGAGTGAATGATACGAGTACCCAGCGCAGTCTACGTCTCTCATTTGCAACCATGTCTTCGTCTTCTCAAACTATTGAGCCTACGCCTGCAAGACTTTCTGAATTTTTGGACATCGCGTCCAGCATTATTGGGCCAGAAAATGTCTCGAGAGACCCTTCTTGGGGAGCACCGAAAGGCCTTTACGGCGCCGACAACTACGGCGACCCCTTTCCGTTGAGCAAGCCTCATCATGCAGCGGCAGCCGTGAGACCTGCCATCGTTGATCACATTCAGCAAATTGTCAAAGCAGCTAATGACACTCGAACATCCCTTTGGACAGTCTCACGGGGAAAGAATCTTGGGTTGGTGTTGATGTCTCTTATAAAGTTACCTGCTAACTTCCGAGTGTTCCAGGTACGGCGGTTCAGCCCCTGTTGTTTCGGGTACAGTCATTCTCGACTTACATCGAATGACCAACATCATCGAGATCAACGAGGAGTACGCGTACGCCATCGTGGAGCCGGGCGTCACCTTCATGCAACTTCACGCTGAAATCAGACGGCGGAACCTGAACCTGTGGATGTCCGTACCAGCTTTGGGATGGGGCTCTGTCATTGGAAATGCTCTGGAGAGAGGTTTTGGTTACACCCAGGAAGCTGTGCACTACAAACAGCAGTCCGGTTTGGAAGTTGTCCTGCCCAACGGCGATCTTCTAAGAACTGGGATGGGGGCTATGGAGAATAACAAGACTTGGCCACTCTACTCGGGGTATGTAATTGCCTATACATTTTCTTCGATGGTTCCTCAGCTGACTGTGTTAGGGGCCTGGGGCCGGGTGTGGATGGTTTGTTCTTTCAGTCAAACTATGGTTTGCACTTTTCTCTTTCACTCTTCTAAACTCCTGCTAACTTCACAAAAGGCATTGTTACCAAAATGGGCGTTCACCTTTCTCATGCCCCTGAAGCATATACCCGCATCGAAGTGGATTGCTTCAATGACGAAGATGTCGTCCCTCTTACAGGCGCACTCACAGAGTTGATGCGACGGCGCGTCATTACCAACCCACCCCAACTCTTCAACACCATGACCATCATCACCGGGATGATCGGCGCCAGCAAGGAGCTCACCGAAGCGCTGGGACAGTATTCGTCTCTGAAGCACCGGATTCCCGCCGATATCGTCGCCGACATCACCAAACGCTTCAAACTCCCTGCCTGGCGCACCGCATTTGCCATATACGCGCCCCGTGAGGCTCATCCTGGCCTCATCGAGGCGATCAAGCGCCGCTTCGAGCTTGTCAAAGGCTCAAATATCACGACCGAGACATGCACTGCGCCACCAGGCGAGTACCTACGAGGCGAGGATGTAGCCCCGGACTTCCTCCCTCAGAACGGCGTTCCGAGCATTGAACACTTGAAGATGCTCGAGGGACACAACGACGGTGACGGCCTCTGGCACAACTCCTACTCTCCCGTCATCCCACCGTCTGGCCGCGAGTTGTATGAATGGTACCTCGGCGCGAAGAAAATCACTGAAGACAACGATCTCAACTTCGTGGCCGATTTCCACGTCTTTGACCGCTACGTCATCGCCATCAACCTTGTCCTGTTTCACCCTTTGGCGAGACCCCGATTACATCCCCTTCAAATGGCGCTCATGGAGCATACGCGGAAGCTTGGGTATCTCGAGTACCGAGCGCATATCAGCTTCATGGACGTGACTGCCGCCCACCAAAACTTCAACGGAGGTGCCTTCGGACGGTTCACGACATTGCTCAAGGATGCTATCGACCCGAATGGGGTGTTATCGCCCGGAAAGCAAGGAGTCTGGAACACGGGTGCAGGCCCGAAGCTGTAAAGCACTTCCGCAAGCCACAAGTGCCCTATTTCTGTGTTATTCAATAAGAGTTGTATTGATAGTAGACTCGCGAAGAATTGTCAGGTGCTCGGTCTTGATTTACAACTGCAGGACTTTGTCCCTTAGTGTTGCGGTACACGGGTTCGTTGTTGTATCAATGGTATAGTACCGGTCAGAATGAGGTAGACGAAGTAAATCATGAGCAGCACCCCGAGAACCCTGACGGTTTCTGACGCATCATGACTCTTTCTCCTTTCCACGGCGATATCCATTTTGGGAATACTTTAAGGTTCGAAGAATTGCATGAGCCGGGGCTGTCAAGGTGCGGACAGCGGTGGCTTGTATTTAAAGATGAACCGCTGTGGTGTTACACTTTTCGGTGATTCAGTAACCACCTGCCTGGTAGGCATGGTTTCTGCCCTAATTCTTCGCCTTGCAATCACTGCCGTCCTGAAGAAATAAAATAATCTTTGAATGATCATTGGTCAAGAACAACCCCTCGAGGTGCATGCAAACTTCTTTGCAACTATCTCCTCAACGAGCGTCAAGATACGGCATTTTTGCTCAAACACGTCATACCCATCACCACCACCACCACCAGTATCATGACTGATAAACTATTCTCTACATATAACTACGAAAATCATCGGAACTACGCAGCAAAGATGACGAAAATCAAGCAACGCAACACCAAAGCCAAGCCGAGATACCACGATCAAGGCACCATGACAGAGCCACCGTACCCCTATGTTCGGCTCAATGTGTGCAGGACAGTCGCCATAGTAGCTTGGACGATTTGGCTTCTCCACGCAATGCACGATCAATTTCGCGGATCCCTAAGTGATTTTCTCTTCATCCCCGCTGGAGTATGCAGTGTCTTGTTTTTCATTCTTGGGACCCAATTACCTGGCGACATCGACACGGATAATCTCTTCATCCAGAGTCTCTGGGCTGGTACGTTTCACTTCGTGGTTTTGACAATCACCGAATGGCTCTCTAGTTGTTTCATCTGTGAGTTGCCTAAGTCATGGGCTCTTGGATCGAGGATTTGCTGGTTACTTGTTTGGATGTGGTCATGTTGCGTCGTCTGGGGCTGGATAGTTGCGATAGGACCCCAAGACAAGGAAGACATCAAGGTGCCGCTTTGGATGAATGATTTTCTGCCTCATGGAATCACCAAACTCATTAGGAATAAGGAATAGACCACGTACTGGAAGGCTTCGCGCATTCTACTTCACTTACCGCCCGTAGGATGAATGCAACCTTTCCCTCCGCCCCTTGTTTGACGAGACGTAAAGAGAGAGTTTCGAGTCTTATGTGTGCTACTGGACAGGCAGTACCAATTTAGCTGTTGGTACTCTGGGGTGTACCACAGACTGACCCCAAAGGGACAATGCTTTCTTGCTCGAAGTAGCATATAAGAAGAGGAACCTCTGCTGCGGGTCCAAATTGTTCGATTCTTCGAGACTGAAGTCTCGAAAACTTTCCGAAGCTAAGATGACCACCGACACCGAATTACGTAGGATTCCTCGCGCTGAGATGAAACCGACATACAGACATAAAAGCACGATGACCGAACTTCCAGGGCTGCTGCCATCACAAACCTCATTCCTTCGATTCGCCGGCATCGTTGCCTGGATTCTTCAGGCTTTGTGGTGGCTATACGCGACACATTGGGTCGGCACTTGTATCGACCCTGTTTCCAACCTTGCTTACTTCTCTTGCGCTGCCTTTGGGATCGCAACCATGTTCACACTCGTTCCTTGGACGACACGGGCTAGGCTTTGTGTACAAGCCTTGATGCTGCACGCCTTCTCCTACCTGTCATCTTCTGTGCTTTGGCATGCAGCGGATACTTGGCGAGATCCCTCTTTCTTGATTCCGACACGTATTGCGGCCATCTACATCTGGGTTGTGATTACACTCCTTGTCTGGGGTGCCGTTGTTGCGATAGGTCCTCAAGATTTAACGGATCTCACATTGCCATATTGGGTGAAGGAGATTTCCTTATGGAATTGCAAAGCATATCAAATTCAACGAAAGGCGCTAAAGACTGATGATCTGTTGGGTGAGCCGTTGAGTCCTTAAGGTTCATAGACCGCAAATGATTTCCACGTATTGGAAATGAGAAACAATGGCACCTTTAAGCTTGATTAGTAACAGTTTCAGAGATTGAATCAAACATTTTGGGCGAACATGTTACCATACCCAGCCACAACTTGTGACAGTCTCATACTTGCCCACACATGTAGAGATCACAGGGTAAACCTTAGCCCTCGGCCATGCCGAGATCAAGATACCCTGTGAGCTTCTCTTAATTATTAATGTCTCCGTCTATTTAAGATTATTCCCTCGCTCTTTCTAAATAAACTGCACTTCAATCGATTCAACCAAGATCACATAATTACCCACGTCAACATGACCATTTCGAACGAACTCCCCGCGATTCGGCAACCGAGACCAAAGCAGTCCGCGGAACATGAGGTCATGATTTTCAAGCAACGTCAACCGCTCATGTCGCGCGAAAAGGCGATGGTCTACCGATTCATTGGCATCACCGCCTGGATTCTTCAAACCTTTAACTGGCTGTACGGGTTCTTTATGAATATAGATGCCTGGAATCCACTAAGACCGCTGTTTCTCGGCGCCACATTCTCACTGGTAGTCGCTCTCCATTTCAAAGACACTCCTATAGCTACCCGGGTCAGATTCTGCGTACACGCTACGTTGTTATATTTCGCCTTCAATTTTTCCGGCGGATGTCTTTGGACTATGGCTTCGATGTTTGCAAGAGCCGGGGTGTCCAGGGATTCTATCATGGTATGGCTCGTCAGTGTATACTGGTGGTTTATCATCACCGCCATCATCTGGGGCTTCCTCGTTTCGATAGGACCCCAGGACGAGTCCGACATCAGGCTGCCATATTGGTTCAAGGAATTCCTCCCATATGCCCTGGCGAAGCATATCAAAGAGCGAGATTCCAGCCAAGAGCGCTCGTGCATCGATAAGAAGGAGCAGTGATGGTGTCGGCTGATTTGGCGATATCTCAAGGATGGGTGACAGATGGAAATCTACACTACTTTATCCACGCGTAATATCAGACGTATGGTCACGATCACTGTCACCGCGTGCCGGTACTCATTTCGCCAATAGTGGTTCTCAATATCTCGCGCACTGTATTTGGGTTCAACGAATTTGCCGATTTCCAGACGAAGAGCCGTAGGTGGATTTAACAGTGGAACGGATGGGGGTGGAACGTCTCCAACCGTGGTGTGGAAATCGTGGAGTAAAAATGGAATCGAACGATGACCTAGTGATAGACCAAGAACACGCTAATTATTCATGGCATCATTCATACATCATGGTTAAGCATCTGCAATTCCTCACTGTACCAATGTTGCGATACCCAAGTAAGACATCGATGCATGACTGCCAGTCACATTGAATGTATCCATCAAGGTCCCGGATCATGCGTCCAACACACCGCTTCGCTTGCTCATGCTAACAATTTGCGACCTTCTCTATAGGCATGTCGCATTTGCAGTGTCACACAAGTATTCAAGGGCTGAAATTTAATACATTTTTACTTTTTTTTCTATTATCCAACAAGTCATAACATCATATCCAGAGCCCTTTCATATCCTGTATCCATGTCCTGTTGCTCCTAAAATCCAACGCTTCGCTAAAAAACAACGAGCATCTATCGGCAGCAGTAACCGCCGTCGATGACGATATCAGCACCGGTAGTGTAGGTGCTGGCGTCGGAGACAAGGTAGACGTAGGCGCCCTTGAGCTCCTTGGCGTCACCGTTGCGGCCCATGGGGATCATGCTCTTCCACAGCTCCTGGGTCTCCTGGGCGACGAAGTCGGACAGGCCGGTGTCGATGTAGCCGGGGGAGATGGAGTTGACACGGGCAAAGTCGCGCCACTCGTTGGCAAGCGAGCGGGCCATGTGGATGCAGCCTGCCTTTGCGACGTTGTACGAGGTCTGCTCCTGGGGGTAGTTGGCGATGTGGCCGGACATGGAGGCGGTGATGACGAAGGATCCCGTGCCGCGCTCGCGGAAGTGAGCGCCGACGGCCTTGGCGCAGTACGCGGTGCCGTTCAGGTCGATCTGGATAACGTGGTCCCAGGCCTCCTTAGAGCCGTCGATGACACCAGTGTCGGCGGTAGCACCGGCGCTGTGAGACACATACGTTAGCAACTGTCATTGCCTCGGAAGGCTGTGTTTGAAGTATAGACTTACTTGGCAATGAAGGCATCGATCTTGCCAAAGTCAGAGAGGATCTGCTTGACGGTCTTGTCGACATCCTCGTATTCGCTGACGTTCAGCTTGTAGATGTTGACCTTGACGCCGTACTCCTTCTCGAGTTCGGCCTTGTTCTTCTCGGCACCCTCCTTGCGGCTGGAGTAGGTGATGGCCAGGTCGGCGCCCATCTCGGCGCAACCACGGGCAGCCTCAATGCCCATGCCGCGGGGTCCGGAGGCGCCGGTGACGACGACGACCTTGCCCTTGAGGCTGAAGAGGTCCAGGAGACGGGAAGCGGTGGGGATTCCTTGAGGCATGGTGACGGTTTATTTGGTGTTGGTTTGGAAATGAAGATCTTGTCGATGTGGAAGAGAAGGTTCAATGGGTATCAAGGTATGTTTGGATGAGGGAGAAAGAGAGGTAGAGAAAGAAAACAGATCGGCGCGAAAGATGGCTTTAGATAGAAAGCTCAAGGGCCTTGGAGGGGCATTGCGGTGGCATGATGGAGGGGTAGCTTTTGGGTTTCGAACCGGCCGTGACGGCATGCCAGAACCCCGCTGATGTCATTGATCAGGCACACGGACTTGACACCGGCGGAGCTAATTGATACGGGTCCTCACTCAGCAATTTGGTGGTTGAAGCCGACGTGGACAAGGGCAGACATCCTTGAGTGGGTGGATCTTGAGATTTTTTTCTGGAGACCCGGATGGGCCGCATGTAGAGGGCATGTACCTGAGTAATGCCCATCTGCAGTGCAACAACACCCGCGGCTTCGACAGCTCATCGATGATCGATCTTGGAGCTCTCTTACTGCTTGGTAATGCGGCTAAGAGCTGCGGGAGCGACTTGGCGGGAACCAGCCTGATTAGGGATGATTAGGGATGATTATCTGAGCGCTCGCAAATTGGGCAATTGCAAGTCTTTGCTCGGCAGACTGGATGCCAACAGCGACGGCTTATCTCAGTCTGTACATGATGAAGCTCTTTGTGGTACAACTCACGCTAAAACTGTCAACTCCAAGGTTGCGGCCAAGACTAGCTGAAGCTCCACCAAGTCCACTGCCAGCCCCCCAGTCCTGGTGCTGCAACAGGAACATTAGTCAAGGCCTCGCATCATCGTTGCTTCACTGGCTGGACTCGGTCGGAGAACGAGGCCTGCTTCTGCGGGGCTATTCCTGCGTGTTTGCAGTGAATGCCGCATTCTTTGTGCTGTTGAGATAACGAGCGCGAAGAGGGGCCATCGATGTCGTGGACGTGTCAAATGAAAGTACCACACTTGTACACAAAGCTCTGGGAGCTCCTGTTGGCTTGACAACGCGGAGCTGTCGCGGAGCCATGTCGGTGAGGGGTTTAGCGTGGGGTGGAATGGGCCTTCGAACTGAACCACCATTTGGTCGAGACTCTCCCTCGCCTCGCGGTGGTCTGCGCACCACTGTGGATTTCCGAAGCTGTATTACCTGTACAGGTGATGCAGACGAAGACGGGGCCTCACCTCGCGTGCAATGTTGAGAAGATGGGGCTCTGGATCTGTACAGTTGGTGCAGTAGTCGCGGATCTGTACAGGTGATGCAGTAGCCCTTGGATCTGTACAGGTGATGCAGATTGAGGCGACGCGGAGCTGTTTGAAGATGGTTCGTGCGATCCGCGGTCGGACTGCGGGATGGGATCCGGGGACGGGCCTCGGCTCGCGCGGGTGGACAAGCGTCATTTTGCCCGTGTTGCACCCGGCCGTCGACATGGTCTCGTATCACGACCGGAATTACCATCGGTGCAAGATACTGTCACAGAAGTTGCTGAGAGTTTGCGAATTCCAAATGTCAGAGGACACGGAACAGCGAAATATTGCGATTAAGTAGTCGTCCATGATGGTCATTGATGCATGGCTGTTCTTGAAGCAGGTCATCTTCCGGGCTGTTGATCCCAGTGTCACATCACGGCTTCGAGTTCACCAGATCAAGCTTTCCGCCACTGGCTTTTCTCATGATGTTCACGGCGTGCCATCCAGGTAGGAGGCGACTACAATATTCAATCTAGGAGCGCCTTGCATGGCGCGAGGAAAGCTTGTTTTGAAAGCAGTAGATGGAAAGCTCTCGTGGCTACTTTCACGTGGTTTTGAAATGAAAATATAATCAATCGTACAGCCGTGGTTCATAGCTAGATTTTCAATTTTCCGTAGATTTTCGCAACGAGTCCAAATCCTCAGTTACGCAGTTCACATCCTGAAACCAAGGGAACAGTACGGGCTTTCTCATCACCCAACGACTGAACAACGGCAAGATGTCCCAGATACCCGGACTTGATTTCCGCGAATGCCATCATTCCTGCATGCCGAAGCGCGATAACCGCAGCAGTCGCATTGCACGTTCCATATCGCTACGTATACGGGACGAAATTCCTAAGAAGAGCCTGATCGCCCTCCTGCCAAAGACGGGATATCTCCTCATCGCAGTCTCTATAGCCGCCGCCGCCGTGAGCAGTCTCATCATGAGCGGGATCCTCGACGCATCTCAGACGACGCGTTCCCTTGTCCTCTCTATCATCTGTTACTTGGCATCCAGCATTTTCATCATCTCCGTGGCTTTCTGTAACGGAATTCGACAGGCTGCTCAAATTCCGGGGCCAACCACCTTTGTGTTCTTCTTCGTCTGGGTTGTGATTCAGATCCTTTGCTTCTTCAATATGAAGATCCTGTGGAGTCAGGATTGGCCTACTGATACCAAGAACCTAGCGGTGGCCTGGATGCTGCTGAGCCTGGCCTCCATAGCAATCTACATCTTTGCCCTCATCCAGATCATGGCTGTTTCGCGGAAGGAGCTTCACTCGAAAAAGCTCGACTTGGAAGCAGCTGAGCCATCGTCGTCGTTCAGGAAGGCGTCTTGCGATCATGTCGAGCACGGCGAGCCGCAGCCACCAGTTTACACTCCGCGAAAGGAAAATTCGGAGAAGCTTTATTCGGAGGCAGCTGCAGAGCCAGCGTCGCCGTGGGAGAAGGCGTCCTGGGAGCATGTTGAATATGGCGAGCGGGAGCCGCAACCACCTGTTTTCATTCCGCGAAAGGAATTCTACCAATTGCGGGGTGTTACCTGTATTTGCACCACCCGTGGGCCGTGAATAACTAGAGTGACTGCGAAAACTTGGGGAAGTAGAAGAGAAAATGGCTGTCCGTGGCAGACATGAGATGCTAAGTCCCACAGGTTTGGGTTTGTAATTAGTTTCTCAAAAGTTAGGGGTGTCGGAGAAAGCTTGGATGGACTGTGTCTACAATTCAAATATGTTTGCGGATCAGGCATGTAACTGCACCGGGTGGTCATAACAAGAAGACGTTTTCGTTTTCCTTCACATCCGGTTGCCAACTACTGGCATACGGGAATGTTCGTTGATGTGTAAAGGAGATGAATGTTAGAGGGAAAGAAAGTGATGAGACTACGATATATTTCTAGAAACTTCAAGCTACCCCATAAGACAGCTGAGGTAGCATATCATCCTAGGGGTTGTTATAAAACCGAAGCGCATACAACACAGCAATGCAATCGTCTACTCGAGTAGGCTTTTGTTCTTATGTACTACTATATTTAGGCAAGGTTTGGTACTCGGGTATCCCCGTTCATTCCCCAGCTACGTTGCCATGCTTCTACGGACCTCGACCTCCTCGGCCCCAGCCTTTTCGGCCAGATCAGCGTCCAATTCGCGAACGATGTTGACATCCCCAAAGATCTCGTCAATTTCCTCGAGGGACTTTCCTCTGGTTTCGGGGTAAAAGAGGGCGAATACGACAGCGCAGATTGCATTTGTTAGTATGAACATAATCTGTTGATACGAATGAGCACCAGACGTGTTCCGTATAGAAGAGGCGACTTACGTAGTACTTCCAGCCAACCTCAGCGAGCGCAATTGGCGAACATTGCGTGATGACGAGGCTGATAGAGTAGTGGGTTACCTGGACTATGGCATTCGCTTTTGCGCGCAGCTCGGTTGTGAAGACTTCAGGGCTGTTCCAAATGTTAGTCTCAGGGGAAAGGGGCACTCCATTCTGAAGCTTACGGAATGATCCAAGTCATGGGTCCTAAAAGGGCTGAATAGTTTGCAGAAACAGCAAAGATGCAGGCAATAAGTCCTCGCTGAGCAGCTTCATTCGTAGGGAATCCAGGTCGTGCTGGGTACACTGCTGCCAAGATGGTAATAATCATGTAGCAAACAGACAATAGCGATGAGCTGAAGATGAGAATCTTCTTTCGTCCAATGCGGTCGACAAAGAAGAGAGAGAGGAAACAGGCCACCGGAGCAACTGATCCGTACAAACCGCTGACAAGGAGCTGCTGGTCCTGGCTGAACTGCAGGGTGGCATAGATGGCTGTCTGGTAGTACTGAACAAATGAGATGCCCGACAACATGGCAGCTGCCCAGACGAACGACCCGACAAAGAGCCGCTTGCGAAATGCAGGGGTTTTGAATAGGTCGGCCCACGATAGACGCCCCTGAGTTTGTAATTCTTCGGCGATGTTGACTTGAATGACGGTGAACTCGGTGCGGCACCAGTTGTCGTTGGAGCCGTTGTAGTGGTAGTTGCGGAATGCCTTTTCGGCTTCTTCGTTACGGCCTTTCAAGCACAGCCATCGCGGCGACTCGCTGAGGAAGAGAACGCCGACGCCTAGAATTAAAGCTGGTATGCTTTGGATAGCGAAGCCGAGTCTCCACTGGTTGGAGTTGTGCCATTTTCCTTCGCCGACTCCGGTCCAGAGGGCGACGAAAAAGCCCCATGCGACCACTATGGAAAGTCAGAAACTGTGGTTGTGAGCTGCTTGGATAGTAGGGTACTGACTCATCTGGTTGACGGCTGTGACTCTGGCTCTTTCTTCAGTCTAGAGCAGTTGGATCAGCGATCTAAGTCTTGACACAGCCTACACGAGTGGAGATACCTTTGCAATCTCAGCACCAAAGACAGGAGCTACACCCGTGATTGTACCAACAGCATAGCCGACTAGAAGTCGTCCCATGATGACTGGTAATGGATTCAGCTAAGATCACTCAATATTCGTAAGGCAGGCACAAACTCACGCATAGCAACATGAACAGCGCCAGCCATCAAGGCTCCGCCGATGACGCCCCAAATACATCCAAAAGCGATGGCACGCCGGCGACCAAGCCGATCACTAGTGATTCCAACCGAAGCGCTGCCCAGCCAAGCTGAATCACACCGTTAGGCCTCATGAGACTAGTTAAGAGACCTGAGATGGCCTTACCTCCCGCTTGGTATACCGACACAATAGCTCCTCTCAAGGGGGCATCGGGATTTCCAAAGTAGGTCAAGAAGGACTTGAGCGCTAAGCTTGGCGTGATGATACCGGAATCACTGATCGTTGCTGGTTAGTAATTGGCAAGATGTCCATGCTCACAACTCACTAGCCGTAGAGAAACCCTCCAATTCCCAGCAACATCGAAGTTAGGAAGGGCTTGCTAAGCCAAGGAGAAGTATCTGGCGTCATTTTAAAAGAATGATTGTAACTCTAATTCAGTGAAACGAATCACCCAAAGCAAAGTTTCAAAGACTGAAGCCAAAAGTCACACATGTAACTCGACCTCTTAATCCTTCACTATGATACACGACACTACTGATATTTAAAGCAGGGGTATACTTACCCGCCTCCAACCAGATCCTTTGTAAGTTTCGCGTCAGCAGGCCGACTATGTGGGGGACGACCCCAGACTCAACGCACAGGTCCTCTTCCCCGCGCCATCCACCGTCCTCGCAGCGAGCAAACTGCGGGGTTCCGACCCTGTCGCATCGCGATATCAAGCTAGGCTTTTCACATTGCAACTTGGAAAGGATTCTGGAGCCCCATCAAGTGATCTTTGGAAGCGCGATATCAGTGGGGGTGGCTTACTGCAACGTCTCGCCAAGGTCGGCAGTTCGTGCTGGCAGATTAGGCGACGAGCCGAAGACGCAACAAAGGCTCAGCAACCTCGGGCCCTCGGTATTTCAGTGCAACGCTGCCGGCATCGCCCAAAGAGAAACATCTCGACGGTTTGAGTCGGGATAAATTTGCTGGCAAGACTTTGTGAATCTTCTCGTTCGCTCATCAATACTCCTGGATGACCGACCGACGACCAAAATGATCACACACGTCTTGGCATGGGCAACGGCTCTGGCTTCTCTCACATACATCGCTCTCATATTTCCCAGGGTAGGTCTCAGCAGCCAATCATAGCCCCCTGATTACCACTCAATAACCGCCCTCGCAGCTTCAACAACAATGGAAGCTATATTCGCACCGCTCTCAACTCCCGCCCGGACCAAAGGTTATCAAGACCGGCATCCGCAAGCCATGGCTCTGGTTCCAAGAACTAAGTAAGCAATATGGCGATATTGTCTACCTACAACTTGGCCCGACACCAACTATTATCTTGGGTTCCGCTCAGGCAGCATGGGACCTCCTCGAGAAAAAGGGCGCAATCTTTTCCTCCCGCCCGCGCTTCATCATGGGAGGCGAGCTTTTGTCCGGAGGTATGAGAGGGTTGATGGCGCCGTACTCATCCTATTGGAGGCGCTGGAGAAAGTTGCTTCACAGTGGCTTCATGCAGCGGCAGAGCGAGACGTACCGGCCGATCCAGAGTCTTGAATCGAAGGTTCTCATGCATGAGTTACTTGTGGACCCAATCAACTTCAGGAGACACCTGGAGAGATATGCTGCTTCCGTGATTGTGACCGTCACCTATGGCAGGAGGGTTGAGGATGTGACGACGGATATTGTGGTGCAGCGGAACGCCGAGTCCATGGGACGTTTGACTTCCGTCAAGTGAGTGATGTTCATCAACGATAGTTGGCCTCCCTCTAACAGATATCTACAGCATCCCCGGCAAGTTCGCAGTCGAGCGCTATCCAGCACTCAAGTATTTACCCACCTTCCTTGCCCCGTGGAAAGCCGAGGTCTTGAAGCAAAGACAAAAGGACATTAAGCTCTACACCGACCTCATGGATGAGGTTCGGGAAAAGGTGGCCAGAGGTGTTGCGCCCGAATGCTTCGCCAGACATCTTTTAGAAGAGCAAGCAAGCCTTGGCATGTCGGATCTGGAGATTGCATACACGGCCGGCTCACCTTTTGGAGCCGGCGTCGAAACTGTGAGTTATCTACATTACCTCATCCATCGAATTGGCTCTTACAATATTAGTCCGCTGGCTCTCTGGCCAGCTTTCTCCTCGCATGCGTCAAGTTCGGGCCACGCTTTATCCCTCAAGCCCAAGAGGAGCTTGACAGGGTTGTCGGCACGAACCGCCTTCCCGCGTTCGAAGATCTAGAGAACCTCCAATACATCCGGGCCATAGCATCGGAGACGCTGAGATGGAGACCGGTCGCGGTCCTCGGCGGTACACCACACGCCAGCACTGCCGACTATATGTACAAGGGCATGTTCATCCCGAAGGGCAGCACAATCATCGCCCCTCTCTGGAGTCGTAAGCACAGTTCAGAGACGCTCACTTTTATCCGCACTAATACCTTTTAGTCCACCTAAATGAGTCGGCCTTCCCGCAGCCACACGAGTTCATCCCGGAGAGATTTCTCGAGGATCGTGAGTATCCGGGGTCTTTCGGCCACAGCGCCTTTGGCTGGGGTCGCCGTATCTGTCCAGGCATGCATCTCGGCTCTGCCTCAGTGGCAATCAACATTGCGCGTATCCTCTGGGGCTTCGATGTGAGGCCAGGAAAAGACGAAAAGGGGCGCGACGTTGATGTTGACATGTGAGTGAGATCTATCGACTTGCTTTTCATGACTAACAGCGTTCTAGCTTCGCCTATTCTGACGGGTTCAACTCCAGCCCCCTGCCGTTTCCCTGCTCCATCGCACCTCGTTCACCACACCATGCGGAAATGGTCGAAAGGGAATATGAGGATGCACTGAAATCATTGGTAACTTACACGTCTGTCTCTAGTAAGATATCATGAGGAAACTCTGCTAGCCGGGCAGTGTCAATCATATACGCTTTTAATCTGTACCTACATCCTGCATTTTCGGTACATTAAAGTAATTAAGGTTTTCTCAGTCGTCGCCTCTAATCGCATATGTTGTCGTCTTCTATCGCCGTCGTCTATTGTCACTATCGTTATCCCTATCGTTTCATTCACTACTATCATCAATGTCGAAGTATTGGTTACGTTACGATTGAAGTTATAGGGGTCACTACCCGGCTCGCAAAGCTCATCATGAGTAGCAGCGTATAGATCAGACAGGGACATACCAAGTCACATCCACTCCGATCAATGCCTTTGTTCATTCAGCTTCCAATTTGACACTGTTGCTACCTGATATCTACGCTAGCTGCACATCCTCAAATGTAAAGGGTATCTTCCAGTATCTCAAATCATCAAACTCGGCCTCGGAGATGTACTCCCTCGTATTCAACGTCAAAGCCCAATCGACATCAGGTCGACTTGACGCAAACGACCTCGCACCCACAACAGTACCATCGCGCTCAGAATAGACCGCTCGGCCACCAGTTCCCGCCACAGCATGGGATCCAATAAACCTCGCAACTGTACTTGCGCTGGCCGCCAAAGAGAACCCTCCCATGCACTCCTCCTTGATGGCGCCGTCGCCTCCGTACGGTCCCGGGACAAGTCGGTATGCGTCAGGATCCACCGGGTCGTAGCCCGTGTACTTGCTCTCCTGGACGATGCGGTCGTCAACGTGCTTCGCCCCGTCCGTTTCGTAGAGCCTGACGTCGAGGTCGCCGAGAATGTTCTGCTTGAGGAAGTCGAGATAAGGGACGCCGGTAACGTTGCTCACGACGTAGCTCGCCAGCATGGTGCCGTAGTTGGAGTAGGAATAGTCCGTCCCCGGCGCGAAGTCGAGCGTGCGCGTGAGCTGGTACTCAATCACATCGCGCAGCGTCGCGGCGCGGGTGCCGTTGAAGAGCGCAAAGGCGATGTCGCGGAACATGAAGCCCGGGTCGCCGGACTTGTCACGGTTATAGCCGGAGGTGTGCCTGAGGAGGTGGTCGATGGTGATCTCGTTCGCCCGCTCGTCAACCGGCTTGTATCCGAGTAGGGGATAGACAGGGGTGGAGTAGTTCAGCTTCCCGGCTTCGATGAGGTTGTAGACGGCCGCGTGGACGAAGATTTTGCTGACGCTGGCAAGCAGGAAAATGTCATCTGGCTGCACGACGGCGCGGTTGCTCTCCGCCCAGGTGTAGCTGCGCTCGGCGATGGCGGTGCCGTTCAGCGCAATCGCAATCTGGGCTTGGCGGACGCCGTTCTTCGTCATCCAGGTCTGCATGGTCGAGTCAAAGGCCGCCGCCGCGGCGTCGTTGTCCTTGAACCCGGTGAAAGATCCGGTGGCGGACCACTTTCGGGTCTCGGGGATGTCCTGCTCGGCAAAGATGACTGAGAAGCGGACGTCTGCTCCCGAGACGCCGCCGTGGAGGTCGATTGGGTACAAGCCCTCCGCCTTCTGCGACTCGATCTCGGCGGCCAGCTCAGCGCCGGTGAGGCCATCCAAAGCTACCCACTTGCCGACCGAAGTATCGACGAACTGGGGCGTGATCACCTGATCGTCGGACAAGAAGAGACGGGAGGGGCGCCAGAAGCGTTTGGCAAGCTCGGAGGAGTAGATATCCGCGTAGTTAATGGAGTAGTTCGTGGTGTAGAAGATCGTGGAGAGCTGGTTGCCGACATTCTCGTGGCCGAGGATGCAGTACCTGCGGTCTCCGGGGGTGCCGTACATCCGGAAGTCTTTCACCAACATCGGGATGCCGTCCGTGGCGTTGTCGTACGCGTAGGGGCTCTTCATGCCGCACAGCTGTGCCCAGTTGGTGACGTTGGCCTTCTCCATGACGCCCGCGAAGACGGCGCTACCGGCCGGTCCTGTGGCGGAGACGTGCGTTGAGACGTAGCCCTTGGCCTTCCACGAGTCGAACCACGAGTTGTAGGTTGATTCGTCTGCGTCGTAAATCACTTCAAAAGGGTTTCCATCTCGTTTGACCCAGACGGCGGCGTAGTTTGCGTTCGGTGCGGTGCCGTATGCGCTCAGGGAGATCATCCGGTAGCCGTCTGCGGTTAAAGACTTCGATCTCTCGCCATGGGCCGCGCCATTAAGGTTGAAGTATGTCTGGACACCGGCGGAGCTGTCGTTGGCGATCCGGCGCTCAGTCGGAAATGCGAACGTGACGGAGCATATTGAAAGACAAGAGGTCAAGAGACCCATGAACGAGGGCGTGTACATGTTCAACGATCGAAAGCTGCCCAAAGGCGAGCGAGGAGGGTGGTGTTGACGAAGAGGGAGCAACGATGCTGCTGACTTCCACCAGCTGCAACCTCGAATGTGTCTCTTCCATGTTTTTATTCAGCATCAAGTGCTCTTGATAGAAATCCACGCCATCCCTATTCTTAGAGTGACAATTTAGGTTGTGGTGATCATCTTGCGATACGAGATGAACCCCGTCCATGCCCCCACAACTTGGCGCTCGGCGAACCGCGCCCAAACCCTGGCCCCCCGGTTTAAGCACCCTGCAAGAACCGGCTGAGCCCGCTGTTTGAAGGGATCTTCGCCTTTTGGCAGGGGATGGGATCTCTGGAAGCATGTTTTTTACCTCATGGGCCCTCGGTTCGATCCTTCCATCCCCCGTGTTCCACGGCCGTGGGTACAACACGGTATGGCCGGTTCTTTGGTAACGCCACTTGTGTGGATTTGTCCTTGGCTAGAATCGCCGTTTGAGCCGAGGAAAGATGCGATGCGTAATGCGCTCTTGACATATGCCCACCGGCAAACAACATAGGCTCCCGATCTGAACAAGTTTAGGTTTCGTGGGATATATAAATCAGACACGCTTCTTTTCTCAGCCAAGATCCTCAGAAAGTCTCAGGACAAAAAGGCAAGGTGATCCCACTCACAGGGATGAAAAATGAGGTCCATCCAGGATTCGAACCTGGGCTTACGGAACATTCCAACTCATAGAGAAATCAGAATCCGACGTCCTAACCAACTAGACTAATAGACCGAAGGAAAGAGGGCAGCGAGAAGCATCTCGGAGCGGTCCTCGTGAGAGGGGCAAGGTCCATCCAGGATTCGAACCTGGGCTTACGGAAGGGAACCGATGGTTTTCATCATCAGAATCCGACGTCCTAACCAACTAGACTAATAGACTAACTGAGCCGAAGCTACTGTGCTGTGGAGGCCGATCGGGGACAAGCAGAATATGACGTCGCGAATTCGCGTGTGTGAGAATTTGCGCGAGCCCTGGGTGGGTATCGCGGGCGGGGATCGTGACGGGGCCGGGGTGCCGGATCGGAGACCGGGGATGGGGCGGAGGGGATAGCCCGGTCAACTTCCGACGACGGACTTGTTGTGGCTTGATTGCATTTCGGCGAGTCTGGAGCGGTGCGTCTGTAGCTTGACAGGAATTGGGTTGAACTTAATGTTATCTTGAATAGGTCACATCTCAGAAGCAAACCGATTCAGTTCGTGATCTTCGATAATGATTATTGAGCACTACAGGTTTGAATAATGTTGAAGCGGGCCTCTGGCCATGTTCATATCATATCTACAAGATATCTCCTATATACAATCTCAAACCACGCACAGCATGTACAATTCAACCCCCCGTCCACACCTCACCTTCCACTTCCCCCTATCCCCAGTTCCCCAACCTAGCACCCGCTAGTCTTCACACCCTCCGCAACGCAAACCTTCCCATCAGGCCCCTTGCCCGTCAACTTCGGCTCCGCGCCACTACTATTCCCCTCGAACATCTCGCACACCTCCGCGCCGCCCAGCACGCACGAGTTCTTGATGTCCACCCCGTCGCCCAAGTTGCCGTTGACCGCGGCCAGCACTTTCCCGCCGTCGAGCCGCACGTTCTCGAACGTCGCGTGCCGCGCCGTCTGCGACTTGCAGTTGCCGCAGCTGCGGTACATCTTGCTGCAGCCCTTGCAGTAGAAGTCCTTGACCGCGACCGTGCCCCCGCCGTTGTGCTGCAGCACCTTGTCCTCGGCGTTCTGCGCGCCGCCGCCGTTGACGAAGGAGGTGCCCGAGGTCTGCTTGAATGTGATTGCATCTTCGCAGACGTCTTGGAACCAGCTGGTTGGTGTTAGTTTGGGGACATATTGCAGGCCAGGCTAGGGCTCTGGGTGATGTGATATGACTTACACGTTGTTGATGGTGCAGCTACCAAGGCAATGGATGCCCTCGCCGTTATTAGGCCCAATCACAACATTGCTAATCGTAGCCCCCTCCTCGAGAATGAACACAGCATCCTTGTTCCCGCCCTCTGTCTGCCCCTTGCACGTGCTCGGGCTCCGGTCCCAGAGCTGCATCCCGCCGTCGAACGACTGGCCTGCCGCAATAGTCTTGACAGCGGCGATGTTCTGCGAGCCCTTGGGGGTGGGAAACGTAGTCTTCAGGCCTCCACCGCCCGAGGTCGTCCCGTTGTTCGCGGCCCCCGACCCAGATCCAGTCCCAGAGTGGCCCGTTGAGATGGGCACATGGGGCGCGGTCTTGGACGCCGTGTGCTTCGCCTTCTTGCTTCCCTTGGGGCTGCCGCTCTTGGAAGCCGGGGACGCAAGGGCAGTAGCGGCGAGGGCCAAGAGGAGGATGTTTCGGAGAGACATTGTGGAGGGGTCGTAGATGGAGTGGGAGATGCGTCTAGCGTCTTGGCTGCAAGGTTGAGATGAAATGAAGAAAGGCTTGGCCGTGCAAGCTATGTGGACAACGTGGAGAAGCAAAGGCGGGATGAGACAATAGACCAGCTGTCAGTTTGGAGACGAACCAGCCGTATTGAAAGTATTGAGACGAATAGTTGTTAAAATCTTTTGAGCTCTTAGAAGCTGATGATGATTTTAAGATTCTAATTCCCAAAGCTCGAGAGAACTCTATTCTGTTTATATACCAAAACTCCCATTCACAACTGCCCTCGCGAACCCCTATACCGCCATCCTCATAAGACAAAACTCAATCGCATCTTGGCTTCGAAAAAGAGACCTCCAAGCCAACCCGGGGCCCGAGCTCTCCAGCATCCTGCCCCCATTCTCCATCAAACATGCTCCTTCACAGAGATATATCAAAAGTCCCCAGTGTAATATCTATCCCAGGGCGACGGTGCGCTTCACGTTGAATGAGGTACGTGCGTTCCCAAAGATCGTCCGAAACTTTGTCGTCAACTAAGCTTTTTCTGACAGATCCATCTAGCCTGGGATAGAGTGACCTGTTGGCAAAAGACCACCAATCCAGTGTGCTGCTGTTCCTCTGTCAAACATGGGCCATCGATGTTGGCGCTAACCTGTGCCATCTGATGTCGGTCATGCGGCGGGGGTCTGCCCTGTGTAGAGCCGCACATGCAAGCAACCGTTCATCTACTTCTGGTATGGCCCTGACACGGGCTTTCATATGCTTCAAACGGCCCTCTTTGTGGGCTTTTGGCTCTTATGCATGCTGTAGTTCGGTCGAGATACCGAATATCGTTCCTCACGACTGGGAGAGTCCCTTGTACCATACCCAGGAGTCCAGCGTTGACCAAGCCGAGTTCTCGGAAAGGTGAATGACACGAGCAGCCTTCTGCCATCTCTGCGTGAAACAACCAGACGGAGCGACTTGTGGCATGACCCGAGCACCTCGGAGCAACACCGGATTAACGATTTCAGACTTGATTGAAAAATATCTGCTTGAAATCAGCGCCAAATTATTCCGTTTTTCCAGACGCTTGTATTAACACAACACCCCAGGGCCTCTAGGATGCTGTGGCGAGACATCAATCACCTCCACTGCTGTTGCGGCGGCCTCTGCTGCCTGTGTTGCTGTTCCGCCTTCAACTGCCTCTCAAACCTCTTCCCGTCCGCCCGGGCATCCTTCTCTCCATTCCCTTTCCCATTTCCTACTCTTTTAAGTTCTTCCTCTACCATGCCCACTGCTTCAGCAACAACATCATCGCCCCTCCGCCATGTGTACAAGGCAACTCCGTGCTGCTCCAATACTTCCTGTGCGCGCTGCAGACGACGCATCCATAACTCGTGCTTCCTGTTGGGGTACGTGGGTCCCATCGTCGGAGACCCCAACGTTGGAGAGGTGGCTCCCGACTTGAGGCTATTCGACTTAGTCTTTGCGAACGCGGGCGGCTGAGGACCGGCCGACGGTGGGAGGGCTTCAAAGTCGATGTCATCGTTATTTGACAGTCTCTGCCGATTGAGCGTCCGCGGGCTGAGGCTTCGGGCCCCGGACGGGGTGTCCCTGCGGCGCGGAGGTGGCGGCGGTGGTGGGACTTTGAATGCTTTGCTCATCTCCTCTGGGGTAGTCGACGCTGGTATCTTTGCTGTTTTGGGTAAGCTGCTGGTGCTACCAACCGTCTGTTGCGATGCGTTGTGTATTTGCGACAGCGGATGAGGGGCGGATCGGTCAGCAGACGGCTTTCTCGACCGCGGTGCAGGCGGAGGTGGAGCAGAACCGCCATTAGACCCCAGCGTAGGCACCTTCGTGTCTGAAGGAGCACTGCGAAGGGCTGCTGGCTTGACTGGACGAGGCGGTGGAGGTTTGCGAATAGGAAGATCCGACGTGCTCGCACTCGAGGTAGGTTTTGGCCTTGCCTTGAGTTGAGCAAGCGCAGCCGCGTCGTCCAGGTTCGCCTGTTCCGGCTCGTCAGAGAAGTCAATCAGATCGCCCATGACGGGTCCAACTGTCTTGATCTCGCCGCGTGGTGGCAGACCAGGCCTGTTTGCCGGCTCGTCGCTCTTGTCCTGAAGTCTGATTGTTGGGGCCTTCTGGCGAGCAGGGCCTTCGAACGATGAATCAAAGTAGCCGCTCTGCTCAGGTGTCGTAACATCACGGATGAATACTGCAATAATTCGTCCTGGATGAGTTTCGACCAGCTCAGTGTAGACTTCCAGATCAGCCTCGCCGCTGTCACCCACCAACAGGAACTTCCGCTCGGGGAAGTCCTTCATCAACCGCGTAAGTGTACTCTTCTTCCTTTCGGCCACCGGCTCGAAGATGCCCTGGAGCATACCGCTGTACTGTTTGAGGTGGAGAGATCCGGGAGGCAAGCCGGCAATCATAAAGTAGCTTGCCAAAACTGGGAATAACTGCCATGGGCTGTTTGAGCAGTAGTGTATGCTGACGCCCATCGCGTGCAGCTCGTTGTACCACTCCTTGACGCCCTCGACCGTCAAGTCCTTCAGCTCGCGGATGAACGTATTGCGGAAGATCTCCTTCGCGCCGCCAGAGATATTGGACCTCTTGATGGTGTCGTCGATATCGCTAATCAGACTAACGCCCCTTGGTTCAATGATCTTGACTTCTTGAACTGCCGACAGGCTTTGGTTGGCTAGGACTCGGACATGTGTCGGAACGAAATCCAAGGCGGCTCGTATGACAAAGTGGCCGGCATCATTGGTCTGCACCGTCCGCGAAGCCGACTTCTCATCGTTGTAGAAGAATATGGTGATGGGAAGCTGGATCAGGGGTGTCGTCATGAATGGCGCTATCCTAGCCATGAGGTTCGCGTTTGCGACGGATAATTCAGCCTCCGACAGCTCGTTGCCGTTCGTGTACTGCCTAGCTGGCATCTTGGGCGATCCCGGGGCTGTCATGGGCGTCCGGGTGCCACTACGGGATCTTGACCTCGCAGGATATATGCTACCGGCATCGTCGTCGTCCTCCTCTCGGGCCGCTTCACTGAAGCCGCCGCGATTTGCCACGCGCCTCTCCTCCTGGCCCCTCTTCTCAATCTCTGCCGCCTCTTTCGCAATCTTCTCCTGCTCCCTCCTCTCTTCATGGGATTGGTGAAGCGCCCCCAGCGAGTCCGAGGGAGGGGCATCCTGCCTGGGTGCGGGGATGCCGCTCAACTGGCGCGCGAGCCCAATCAGAATCCGATTGCGTCTAGTCATGGGCCCTTTGTGCGGCGAATAAACCCATCCTCTGACGTCGATATCCACGATTGCCCTTTCGTCTTCGTTGCGCTCCCACTCTTGCCTCCAGTACTCCGAATCTCTAATGGCCCCGTGTGGTTCGTTGGAGATATACTCGTTGTCGTCGCCCCAATCTTGCTTAGTGTGTCGCTTCGCATATGACGGAAAGATGACCATCTGGTCGTCGCCTTGCACCGTAATGGCAACATCCGGGAATGATCCGGGTATCGTCGTCCTCGGCATGCCGTCGTCTGCTTCAAGCGACCTTACCCGCGTCTGCGCATATCCTTCTCTTATTTCGTTCATCGCAACTGCACCGGCGCGGTACATGCTGCCTGCCTTTGCAGCCAGCCATTTCCGACGGAAACCTCGCTCGCCTTGTGCCGGCTCGCCCTCTGGCGCCGCGCCATATCCGTAGCCGTTCCCGTCCCCATTGCGGCTGGAGTTGGCCGCAGCTCCTCCTCCTCCGTTGCCTGTGTAGTCTGACCAAGTGGGCATCTTTTTGCCTGGGCGTCCTGCTCTCGCATGCCTCGCCGGCCTCGCTGGGGGTGGGCCCAAGAGCAGCCGGCGACTTTGCCGCCTGACTACGTCGACGAGCCGCGACTGCTCGTTCCGCTTGCGCTGGCGCTCAAGAATCAACCGGTAAATGCGGGACTGGAAGCGATGCTTGAGCTGCGGAAGGGTGTCGAGCCGGAAGTTTAGCACGCGCTCGCGATATCGATCTCGGACGGTTCGCGGGAAGAGGTATCGTAGTAGGCTGAGTCGATTATGAGGATGCGGATGCGGGGGTCCAAATCGCCTGAAGGGCCTGAAGGGAGCCAGCTTGATCGTTGTAGGTGCCTTGGACAAGATTCCAAGACGGGCGCGATGGTGTGCGGAACGGCCCTGGTTTTGTTCGTGATGCAGGAAGGGTCCCCCCGCGCCGTCTGTTCTCCGGAGGCGGCAGGTCGTGGGTTCAGCGACGTCGATTACTCGTCCGAGGCTCAACGAGGCAGACCGGAGGTGCACGAGGCTGCGCAGGCGACAGCGTCTTCTGACCCCCACGCTCTACAGCTGATGAAGAAGCGGCAGAGAATGATGGAAGCACATGATCTGGGCGACGGGTTTGGGAGGCGGAATCGGCGGTCGAGGGGTTGAGGCAGAGTAGCGGGAGCACGCGGGTAGGGAGGGATGAGCTAGGAGCTCGTGACGACGGGCGGGCGAAGCTTTAGGTTGTCTCTGGTCTCAGAAGCTGCCGGTGCCGGGTCGGGGTGTCTCGATTTCCAGATGCGACCAAGTGCCAGAAATGCATGGAATATTATGCAGGCGGCGTAAGACAGCGGCGCCTCCTCAGCGAGCACCTCAGCTTATTGCCCGCTGAATGAGGTCCACGTCCAAGCGAAACGAGATGTTACGTCATCCTTTGAGCTTGCCGAGCTCCCGCTGAAGCTTCCAATGCGCTGCGTGAGGTGCCCTGTGCTGCGATCGTCCTCAGCGCTGGTTCTGGCCGAGGCCCACTGAAAAAAGGACGCTGCAAATGTAACGTGCCTGGGCCAGACCAGAGTCCATCAACTGACGCTCCGGCGCTGGACACGTGAGGGCCTGTCAACTCGCTCGATGTAACTGAACTGTCGCATTTCGGTCCTTTTGCTGGCGCATTTCCCCATGATCCATGATGGACGAAACTCCGTGCCAAGAAAGAATTAGATGGTATTTCAACATGGTATTTTGGTCTAAACTTTTCCCTCCGTTATGCCCACCGACGCCTACCTCTTTCCACGGGCCATCTTCGCCCTCATTCTGCCGTTCTTGGGGACCTTCTTCTTCTTGAGGTTCAGCACGGCGCCTTGTCCAGCACGCTCCGCCTTGCCCTTCTTCCATACGTGGCCCTCACTCCTCGTGGCCTTGGCGTCGAGCTGCTTTCTGGCCTTGTTGCTCATCTTCACCTTCTTTTTGCCCGGGCCGCCCTCGCCGTTGAGCTCAGCCCGGCCCGCGTCCTTGGCCTTCTTCTTGTCCTGCTCCGTCTCGAACCATGTCCTCTTCGGCCTGGACTTGATCTCGGCCTCGTGCTCGAGGATGTTCTCTCCCTTTCTGACCTGCATCTCGGCCTGTGCGAACTGCTTCTCCTGCTTCTCCTCGACAATGATCTCCTCAATCTCGTCTTCCATCTCGTCAACCTGGGCTTGCCACTTGTCTGCTTCCGCAGGCTCGATGACACGGCTCATGATCTTGGCTCCCTGGGACTTGCCCGCCTTGACCGCGGCCTTGACGACCTTGCGGTCCGGCTCGGCAGCCAGGGTGACGGCGACACCACTTCTGCCGGCACGCGCAGTACGACCGACTCTGTGCACGTAAATCTCCAGCTTCTGGGGCGCCTCGTAGTTGATGACGGTGTCAACGCCCTTGATGTCGAGACCACGAGACGCAAGATCGGTAGCCAAGAGGTAGTTCACCTTGCCGTCACGGAAGTTCTCTACACTGGCAATTCTCTGCAAGGTTGTTAGTGACATTCTCATCGGGTTATAAGAGAGGTGCTCACCTGAGCCTGGTTCATGCTACCGTGGAGCTCGGCGCAAGACATGCCCAGCATACCAAAGATGATTCTTGCCCTGTGAGCCTCCTTCTTTTGGCGGAAGAAGATGATGACCCTCTCGGTGTGCATCGTCTTGCAGATGTGGATCAAGTAGCCCATACGCTTCTCCTCGCGGCCGGGACGCAGGCGGATGAACTCTTGCACCAGGGTGCCGACTGTCTTCTTCTGGGAATCCACCATGACCCTGGCGGGCTTGTTCATGCCAACGCGGACCAGGCGGTCGACAGACGATGTCATGGTAGCAGAGAACAACATGGTCTGTCTTGACTTGGGGAGTGTGGTGAGAATCTCGTTCAGTTCGTCGGCGAAACCGTCTTCGAGCATACGATCGGCCTCATCAAGCACCAGAATCTCTACAGTGTCGACGTTGAAGCTGGCAGAGTTTCTCATGTGATCGATGAAACGACCGGGAGTGGCAATAATGACATCCGGCCGTAATCTGAGCTCGACCTCTTGCTGCTTCAGACTGAGACCACCAACAGCCAGGGTGAACTTGATGTCCGTGTAGGCTGCCAGCTTGGTAGCAACGGCGTGGCACTGGATAGCCAACTCACGGGTAGGGGTGAGGATGACGACACGGCTGGTGGGCACCTTCTTGGGCCTGTAGAGGAGACGCTCGAGAATAGGAACCACGAAGGCGGCCGTCTTTCCGGAACCAGTGACTGCACCACCGACGACGTCCTTGCCCATCAAAGCGATAGGCACGGTCTTGGCCTGAATGGGAGTGGGCTTGGAGAAGCCAACGGCGGCAAGACCTCTGAGAAGGGGACGCGACAGAGACATGCCCTGGAATGATGAAGCGATATCCTTCTTGCCGGGCTGTGCGGGCTCCTCTGGCGCGAAGAAGGCATCGCGCTTGGCTTGTTCCTCTGCATCCTCCTCTTCGTCGTCCGAATCATCGCGAGCGTCGTCGGGGTGGTCTACGGGTGTCGCAACGGAGTCGTTGTCTGATGCAGCGGCGTCCTCGTCTTCTGCGTCTTCTGCGTCGGGAATCTCCTCGTCGGCCGACCCCTCGTTCTCAGGGTCAACACCCATGCCGAAGGCGTCGTCGGCGAGCACTCCGTCTTCATCGTCGTCGAGGTCGATATCCATGTCGTTCTCTGCCTCCTCGTCGTCGTCACCAGCCTCCTCCAGTACAGCGGCCTCGGGCTCCTCGTTGCCGGTCTTCTTCGCGCGCCTCCTACGGATGATCTCGTCCAAATCGACGCCAACCGGGTCCTGGTTCTTCATGGACTTCTTTGCGCCGTCGAAGCCCCAGCCCTCGAACTCGTCGTCGCCGAATTCGACAGCGCCGTCTTGGGCAAACTCGAAGTCGGAGTCCATGGCACCGTCGTCGTCTTCATTCTTGCCCCAGATGCCTTCGCGCTCTTCCTCCTCCTCTTCCTCGCCCTTCTTAGACTTCTTTGACTTCTTGGCGGTCTTCACCTTCTTCTTCGGGGGCGGCGCAACAGCCTCTTCTTCCTCGACAATGTCCTCGTCATTGTCGGAGATTGTGTGGACAAAGTCGTCGTCAATTGGTTTGCGTTTCTGAGAGGGAGCCATGTTGGGCGGTTGAGAATTGTTGAAAAGCGAAGGAGTAGTCCCGCGGGGTATCGTCTGCTCTAACACGCTTTCCCAATCCCCCAGCTCGATCTTCAGCGCCAGAATTTTTTCTGAACGGACGGTGGAGCTTGAACTTTTCTGCCGCCAACAGGCCCCACCTTGACTACCTAGGCGGTCAGACGACTCGGTCCCATCCGCCGCGCTGGTCAGTGCGTTACGTGATCGGAGTACGGACACGTGACGGTGTTTGTCATCAGCAGAGAAGGGCCAGGCCGCCAGCCAGTCATTGCCAGTGTTTAGGGGGGACGTGGAAGGTAGGGGCAACTCCCGAGTAATTGCCCCCACCACGGTTGATTGGGCGACCACTTATTGCCAACAATTTTGGCAGCCTTCACGCCGCCGGCGACAAAGCAACGAGATTTAATTTCTGCCACTTCGACACTTGCCTGTCTTGTCCTAAGCCCAACTTCGGTGCTCTAACCACCCACGTCTCCTTTCTCTACGCCTCATCGCGTCTCTGCTTCTCGAGCGTCCTTTCGATTCCCGGTTTTTTGCGCGCGCATTCTTCATCCAAACACACGAAAAATCCCAGAGATCAGACACATACGGTCAAGATGGGCGAATCCAGGTTCGTAACTTTCCACGGCCTTCCATCCCGCGGCGCCCACCACCACCACACGACGGACTCGGCGCGTCGCCGCCTCGACATCGAGCTCTCCCAGCTAACAGAAAAGACTATCCAGACAGGAACTCATCCAGTGGTTGAACCAGCTGCTGTCCCTCAACATCACAAAGGTCGAGCAATGCGGTACGGGGTAAGTGCAGCCCGATACCCCTCCCCCGCCATACAGCGATTTGTGGGACCTGGTGATTTTCGTGATGGTGTTGCTAACGCTGGTTTGACTGCAGCGCGGCGCTATGCCAGGTGTTTGACAGCATCTTCATGGACATCCCCATGTCCAGGGTCAAGTTCAACGTCAACAGCGAGTATGCATACATACAGAACTTCAAGGTGTTGCAAAGTGAGTCCAGCCCTCGAACCTACCTTGCATTTGGTGCCCAGCGAACCCGACGCTGACAATTGCTCTCTGCAGACACCTTTGCCAGACATCAGATCGACAAGCCCATCCCCGTCGAAGCCCTCGTCAAGTGCAAGATGCAGGACAACCTCGAGTTCCTTCAATGGACCAAGAGATTCTGGGACCTGAACTTCCCCGACCACGACTACGATGCCGTCGCCCGCCGAAAGGGCGCTCCCGTGTCCGGCGGTGGCGGTGCCGCCCCCCGCGCCGCTCCTGCCGCCGGTGCTGCCAGACGAGGAGGCACGACCCCCTCGGGCGGTCCGCGCGTGGCCAAGGCGGCGGGCCCCGGCAGCGCCGCCCTGCAGCAGGAGAATGCCACCCTCAAGGAGACTGTCGTCGGCCTGGAGCGTGAGCGTGACTTCTACTTCAGCAAGCTCCGCGACATTGAGCTTCTTGTGCAGCAGGCCGTCGAGGAGGACCCCGAGCTGGAGAAGCAGGAGGACGGTCTCGTCAAGCAGATCCAAACGATTCTGTACTCGACGGAGGAGGGCTTCGAGATCCCCGCCGAGGGCGAGGCTGCCGACGATCAGGAGACCTTTTAGGCGGGTGGTGCCATGGACCAAGGTGTGAGGAGGGCGCGGGCATACCCAAGAGTATTGGATGGGCATGCAGATTGGGGTTTAAGCAAAAGCACATGGGTTTGGCTGTAGTACAAATACCCTGAGGCACGTAATAATCGTATACTGGCGATGAGGCTGAGCAGCACTCGGACGGCGTTGGCAGCCTGGAATAGGGTCGGCCGGCTGGTCAGAGCTTGCGGCGCTCTTGTCCCAGCATGAGCAGTCATGATAGAATCAAAACTTTTTGGTCTGGGAACACCGAGTCATTTATGTGGGTGTGGTGTGAGTGAGAGCGAGGCACGTCTGGTCCCGGACCACGCGTCCGAGACGGCTCAGACGATTCGTATGGGGTATTTTGGTTCGGCACAGTAGTCTGTCTGGGCTGAGAGTGATCCTCCCAAGTTTCAATCTACTAGTCGTCGGAGAGGTGAAGCTTATGCATGAACATGACTACTGCATTTCGGATGAATATTCTGGAAGGCTTCTTCTCGCGCTGTCACTCAGTTCAGTCGATCTAGTGTGGAAATGCGGACAATGGCAGCTGTCATGGCAGAGAAGACGGTGTGCCCGCGGTGAGAAGACACAGCGTCGTATCCATCTCAGTCGGGATCTTCAGGCAGTGACAATCACTCGGGCTTCGGTGTCTCTCTTTGGCCCTCGTCATGAGCCCAAGCCCAGGCCCTTCCTGATGAGGTGTCCCAGATATGCGGTCATTCCTGCGGCAGGCTCCAGTTTAGTGGTTCCATGCAGGCGCCACAGGCGTCAAACAGCGCACACGACCACCAGCCTCCCCCTCAGGCTGCTGTCTTTCAGACCTAGGCACGCCCAGGAACCCAGGGACCTGCTGCTCAACAGTGGGCCGCCGTCGTTTTTTAAGGAACCGACCACCTGCGTCTCGCGCCCGGCTGCAGCACACCTCGCTGGAGCATTGCATACGTTCGTTGCGCTGCTGCTCACCGGACTGAACTGGAACGTGAACCTTGATTGCATCTCCCCGGGACCTGACGCAAGCAACGAACCAAATCCGTCCTTCAACAACATTGATTTTTACCAGCACGACGACGCGCTCGACAACGTTTACGATTGTGTTTCATTTGCGAATTATCCACATCATCCCTTCGACGACGCCATTGCGACTGCCAGCAAGCAGCAATCACCCACGCCAACCGACTAAGCCACTTACACTCCCACCCGACGAAGCGAGCGAGCGAACCATCACCGCAAGCCAGCCCAGCCCAGCTCATCCGAGCCCAAGCTCGTCCAAACCCGATCAACGTCCCATCATCTCCAATCGTCGAAAGAACCAAAGAAAAAAACCTTCCCATCCGTTCATAACAACCGCCGTCACAATGGCTCCCCCGGCCGAGATCTCCATCCCCTCGACCATCCTCTCGACCGGCGAAGCGAAGCCCTACACCCTCTACAACATCACCCTCCGCCTGCCCCTGCGCTCCTTCGTCGTTCAGAAGCGATACTCCGACTTCGCCACCCTCCACCAGTCCCTCGCCGAACAGGTCGGGGCCCCGCCCCCGAAGCCGCTGCCCGGCAAGTCCTGGTTCAAGTCCACCGTCTCCTCCCCGGACCTGACGGAGCAGCGCCGCCAGGGCCTCGAGGCCTACCTCCGCGCCATCGCCGAGTCCCCCGATCGCCGCTGGCGAGACACCTCCGCCTGGCGCTCCTTCCTCAACCTCCCCAGCACCGGCGGCGGCGGCAGCACGAGCAACTCCGCCGCGAGCGCCCACGGCCTGATCACGAGCGGCCGCGCCGGCGCCGCGGACCCGACGACCTGGCTCGACCTGCACCGCGAGATGAAGAGCAACCTCCACGAGGCGCGGCTGAGCCTGTCGCGCAGAGATGCCGCGGCGGAAAACAACAATAGCACCGCGGCGGCGGAGGCCGGCGCTGCGGCGAAGAGGGCGCTTGTCAAGGCGGGCACGCTGATCGGGAACCTCACCGCGGGGCTGCGCACGATGCAGGAGAAGGGCGCCCTCGGCGACGGCGAGCTGCGCAGGCGGCGCGACCTGCTGTCCTCGGCCCGGGTCGACAGGGAGGGCCTGGAGCGGCTGAGCAACAGCATGTCGCAGAACGGCCGGGCCGCCAGGGAAGGGTGGGCCTCGTCGGGGGACAAGGCGGCGCTGCTGGGAGGGGCTGCCGGCAGCAGCAGCGGGGCGCGGACCGGCGGGCGGGTTCTCGGCGCGCCGCTGCCCGAGACGGAGCGCACGCGGGAGCTGGACAACGACGGGGTCGTGCTGCTACAGCGGCAGATGATGAGCGAGCAGGACGAGCAGGTGAACACGCTCGCGGCGATCGTGCGGCGGCAGAAGGAGATGGGGCTGCAGATCAACGACGAGGTGGAGGCGCAGACCAAGATGCTCGACCGGGTCAACGAGGACGCCGACCGCGTCGGCGGCAAGATCAAGGTCGCGAACCGGCGCATCGGCAAGTTCTGACTGCGGGGCGCCGTCGGGGTCGTCGCGCGGGTCGTCGTCGCGGCGATGGAGGTCGTCGTCTGGCTGCTTTGGGTCGGGGCCGCGGTTTGGGATGCTTTTGCGTGGTGTATGGAGTTGGGCTCTCTTCTTCTCGTTGCAAGGAACGCATGACACGAGGGAAATTTTGTTCTTACTACGGCATTTTAACTTGCAACACAATTAGCGACAGGTTTTAGGTTGTCGCCCATGATCGCCTTCACCAATTCCTGTTTTGTTTTGTTTCTTTCTTCTGACGCAAAGGCATGACGGAAGCGGGCTGGGAAAGAGGAACTCAGATTGTGCTACGGCGAGCCCGTTCTGGATGGGTTAACGAGAGATGGGAAATCTGAGATGCGTTTGGATGCGCGTATATAATCACGACGGATGGAATGAGATTGGACAGTGTGACAGGAATGAATACCAAGGCTGCTTTGGCGTTTACGTATGGTCTTGTGTGCTTGTGGTGAGGTGGTCCTGCTGGCAAGTACATACTATCTCAAGGCTGAGAAGTGCGATCGAGGTATAAATATCTTTGAAGAGTCCGGCTTTTTATTTGCGATCACCAATACTTGGCCTTGATAGCGCTGAGTGGTTTGAGTGTTGCCATAAGCATGTTGCGTAGCACACAGAAGAGGCGTCGTGTGATGGATCTTCGGTTGAGCCCGTGGTATACAACATCAGCATTAATACACAGTTATCGGTTGCGAATAGCTCCATGACGATAGTGGTGGATGGCAGACGGACGACAGACGAGCAACAGCCAAACGTTGATGAGAGGCATGTGAGGCGACGAGACCACACAGCCAAGCAGAGCCTTTCAGACAACATCCCTCACTCCCAAAGTTTGAATTGTGCTTGAAGTAAATCCAACCAGGTGGGTTCGTTCGCTGGGTTTATAGATTATTACTTCCTACCAGCCTATAACTGTAACAGATGGCTTGTTCGCATGCCACGTAACCGATCTCGACGGAATGAATTGGGTTTCAACCGTAAGTGAATGCTTCGACGATGTTTAATCAATATCTGCTCTTGATCTTGTCTGGTTTCGCGCCTGCATCGACTGCAACGAGGTTGTGTTTGCCACTGATTTGCTGGTAAACATCATGAGATCTCGTCCTAAGCAAGGTTCGAGGTTGCCATGGTCTAGAGATTAAATCATGACCCTCGTCCACAATACTGCGGTCGCATTTGGTCACACAAGGTTGTAAGATGCCCAAGACTGAAGCATCCTTCCACCTGCCACGGTCACCACCAAGCTGATGCTCGGCATCGACCCGGAGCTAATGTGTCAAGTCACCCCAAGACTGCGGGATGCAAGGAGAGCCGCATGACGGGAGTTGTTGACACTGGACGCGACGGAGTGTGGCCGCGGACCGTTCCTCATGCACATGCAGACGGTGCTTATTGGGTTGACCCCTGCCCATGGGGTTGCATGCATGTAGCGCTTGTCACATCGCTCTCTTTTCTTTCAAAATTCATTTCTCATGGGGAGAAGAAGAAGGTTGAAGCGCCTCCCTAGCCTCGACGCTACGTTTGATCGTAACGATGCCTTGGATGTTGGCAGTGATGATCGTGTCCGAGGCCCTGGCAGTTTGTTAACCACCCCGGAATTACTGACGTCTTCTCCGCCGTCGTCACCGCAAAACACCGGTTTTGCCCTCGACCCGGAACGTCGAAAGCGTTGCCGGCCGGCAGGCTCCAGTCGTTCCAGAAACGTTCAAGCGTGGGCGTGAGCAGCGCCCACATGGTGACATCTGATACGTCACTCGTGCTCATGGTGCAAGGGACTTCCCGCGGTTGCCGGGCAACGAGACCGTTTGGGTGGGAAGAGAGAGGGACAAAGCTCCACCGTCCGGCTTGCGCACCGCAACGGTTGGCGGTCGAGAAGTGTGAAAGAAGAGTAGAGATAATGTCACAGTTGGCGCCCGACAAGTCCAACGGTAGCGATTGTGGCCCCCATTGTGACCGTCGCTGTTACATTCGCAATCGCAATCTTAACCGATCACCCGCAGGATTCGAGGTTCGTCTCGAAGGGACGTCCCAGACATCTGGTAGGGACGGAAGGAAGAGGGCCTCACCCTTCGCAACGGGGCACTGGCGGAGGCCGCGAGCGAAGCGTTCCTCGCCAGCTGGCATATGGCCTTTTCCTCATGAGGCATTGCTGAACAATGCTGGCGCCGACGCCTCCCGGGGAGGATAGCCTCAGACTCCGCGATTCGCTGCCGGGGGTGGATCTCAACCCCAGCGAGGCACCGCTTCAGGACCACAGGCGAGTGTGCCAAGGGCCTCTCATAGGCAGGAGATTGAGCAATTTCTTGGGATTGGGCCGCCGGCCAGAAGTCTGCAGAAGTCTGCTCGAAAGCGAGAGCGGGGAGAGGGGTTCTTTGGCTGCGGTGTTTGCTTGAAGATGGGCGGTGGACATGGCAACGGGGGGAGTTTGTTTTGGCGATCTGTTGGTGGTGAGTGGTCGAGGATTTCGATATGCTTTGTGGCCTCTTCCAGTTGGACGATGGGCGGTGTGTATGTTCGTATTTGTGTGGCAGCAGCTGTAGGCATCTGCAGTTGTAAGCAGTCAGGAACCAGTGGCCATCGCGATGACGGCCAAACCACTCGATCGCGGAAGGTGGGATGAACAGTTGCCGGGATGAGGGGAGTAACACGCTGCGAACTGAAGGCATCGTGGGCAGTGGCATGAGTCGGGGGCGGAGGTTGGAGCTCGGTCATCCGCCTGTTTGGCTTTTTTCAGGGTCTTGCCAGCGCAGGGAACATCCTCTGAGCGAGAGCAGACGCCGTGGCTGGGACCCAATGCATGATGGCTGTCTTCTGCCGTGCGACTCTTCAACGGTCTTGCGTCTTGTTGCTGTTGAATGCTGCCGGATGATAACGGCCCCCAGGCGATGCATGCAGACGCAACGAACACAACATCAGAAGCAGAAGCAAACTATGAGGCTAACCTCAGACTGTAAGAAGGCCCAGCTGGTGACAGCACCTGCCATTTGGTAACCTAAGAAAGCGCAGATGTCTATCAAATGTCACCATCCTTCGCTTAGCCGGCTGATGCGGTTGACGGGGAGGTCAGTGAGCTCCAGGTGGGTCCCTGCCCACTGGAGCAACAGCGTTCAGTGGGCTGACGGTGGGAGAACAGCCACTGAGACTGTGCAGCCGGTCGCTAGCGCCCAGTCACACCCCCCAAGAACTGCGGTTCCCCTCCTCTCCTCAGTGAGGCCAGACCTGTCCAATTGCCATGAGAAATTCCCAAAGTAAACACAAAAGAATTCCTCCCCCTTCCCGCTTGCCTCTTCTCGTCACATCTTCCCTCAACACCTCGCCCAAAGTCGACCTCCACCAAGAGCGGTTCTCGTGATACCATCCCGATCCGTCCCTCGACCTGCCCTACTAACCGGCAGGTCGATTACGACAACAACAATTCTGTCTCATTGCCCCGCGATCGGACGCAATCCAGCCAGCTAAGCACCACCGCCAAACGAAGGAAAAAAAAAAAAAAGCGCGAGGCCGGAGCGACAGCCCAGCAGCTGCAACCACACTGTCAATCGACAAAATCCTCGATACCCGCTCCGTCGCTTTGACATCCGTCTTTGCCCGTCCTCTATTCTGGGTTTTTGGCGTTTGTTTTTGCTTTCTTGCTGCTTGTGAGTCCGAATCCTCCCAAGTCATGCATGACCTTCCTGTTCCTCCCGACTTTTTTTTTCTGGTCCCTCCATCACCACATGCCAACCGCTCCTCTACTGCTGGACAAAATGCTCATGACCTTTATGCAGACGCTTCACGAATTAACGATTGCCAATGGCCCTACAAAGATACCACTAGAGCTCTTCATTTCACCCCGAGACTGAGTCTCATTCGAGCTGTAAAGCTCGATCCGACCAGCTACTCCAGCCAACCGACCTCAACCGCAAGTGCTGAGGTCTCCACGACATGAGCGGACCTCCTCCGCCACCGCCTCACGGCGAGAATCCCAAGACCACCGCCGGCTCTCCCCCGCCTGGCGCTGGCTTGGGGCCTGGCAATTACGACATATTCGTCATTCCCCAGCGCGATAAGGGCGGCGGCTTCATCTACCTCCCGTCCCTTGCGCCCAATGGCCCCAGCTTCGCAGCCGGCTTTGCCTGCGCCCTGGTCATGGTCGTCATGTTCCAGAGCATGGCCCCCGCCTTTCGCACATGGTGGGGAACCTACCAGGGCATGGGCAACATGGGAATGTCGCTCCTCGTCATCGCCGTCGGTGTAGGAGCATGGGCATGGGGCAAATCGCAAGCCCAGCCGTCCGCCTCAAACGGCAACGGCCCCAACGGCGGTTGGCGTGCAGGCCCGGGAGGATATGGTTCTTACGCGGGCAGCGGCAACTTCGCCAACGGCTTCCCCGGAACCGGTGCTCCTCCTCCCCCTCCACCTCATGGCACTCCCCCTCACGGCAGCCAAAATACCGGTCATTCGAGCGGTTCCAGCTACGGGTCGGGAAATGGGGGGCCTAGGTCTTCCTGGCAAGAACGACCACAAGGGCCTCCTCCTCCGCCACCCCGTCAGCCAGAGCCCGAGCCTGAGCCCGAGCCTGAACCCGAACCAGAGCCTCGCAAGCCGGATCCTCCTCCAAAGGCAAGGCCTGAACCAAAACCCGAACCTAAACCGGAGCCCAAACCAGAGCCCAAACCGGAACCCAAGCCGGAGCCCAAGCCTGAGCCGAAGCCTGAACCCAAGACTTCACCACAGAAACCGCCACAGAAATCCCAATGGGAGAAGGCTAGAGAGGAGACGAGAAAGCGCGAGGAAGAACGCAAGGCCAAGGAAGAGGAGGAGAGGCGCAAGGCCGAGACAGCCCGCAAGCTGAGAGAGTTCCGGGAAAGAGAAGCCCGTGAACGTGCCCGGCGAGACAGAGAGGAGCGTGAGAGACGGGAGAGGATCGAGCAAGACATTCGCGAAAAGGAGGAACTCAAGCAGAAGCTGGAGATTGAGCGACAGGAGAGGGAAAAGCTCCAACGCGAAAAGGAAAAGGCGGAGCAGGAGGCCAAGGAGGCCAAGGAGCGTGCCGAGAAGGCGGCCAAGGAACGCGAAGCCCAGGTCAACAAGGAGCGTGCAGACAAGGAGCGTGAGGAGGCGCGCAAGAAAGAGGCGGCTGAAGCTGCTGCCCGCAAGGCCCGCGTCGAGGCACAGCTCGAAGCCTTTCGGAAAGCCAAGAGGGAGCGTGAAGCTGCCGAGAAGGCCAAGAAGGATCGTGAAGAAGCAGAGAAGAAGAAGGCGGAGGAGGAAGCTGCCCGCCAGGCCAAGGAGGAGGCGGAGCGCATCGCAAGGGAAGAGGCGGAACGCAAGGCAGAGGCTGAACGAAAGGCAGAGAGGGAGAGAAGGGCAGAGGCCGAACGAAAGGCCGAAGCAGAGCGCAAGGCCAAAGAAGCAGCAGAGGAGGCCGCGAGAAACACTCGCAAGAGTGGCTCTTACGCCTTCTCGTCGGTCGGTGAGAAGACAAGTATGTGGCCCAACGGCCGACCTCCCGCTCCCCCCACCTCCCCTTCCGTGGCTTCGTCGCAGCCGTCGAGACCTCCCCCGTCCGCCGCGTCGTCTGCTCCCCCAAGACCTCCCCCGTCTGCGTCTTCTTCTGCTCCCCCAAGACCCCCTCCATCTGCCAGCTCTGTGCCACCAAGACCCGCGCCTTCTGCGACATCCTCGAACTCGAGACCAGCGCCTTCGACAGCATCCTCGAACACGGCGAGACAGCCCCCGAGGCCGTCAGCACGAACAGAGCGAACCGTCGACGAAGAGCAATACTCGTACCGGCCATACGATAAGCCGAAGCACAAGCCGGCATCTTCCATCGGCTCCGAGTCATCATGGGCCCCGTCGGCCACGACTACGCGAACGACACCACCGCCTAGCATGCGCGCTCCGTACACGACGAAAGACCCCGACAAGATCGTTATCAGGGCGGTCTATCTGTTCATGAATCAGTTTGCCAAGACCCCAGCCAGCCAGCTCGTATCGGGGTTTGGCACAGTGACAGATGGACTTATCCTGCGGATAACGACCGAAGGCCTCTTCATCGACGACGATGTCCGCGGCGTCCCGCAGCGCGAGTGGGACGTCAAGGCCTGGACGTTAAAGCTGGTCGAGGTATGGTGCCCCCCGCACTGCTTGAATTCCGCTGCTGCTGCTTCTACCCCGTCGAATTCTGCAAACCATCCCTCTGGCTTGTTTCAAAAAATGGCGAATCAGCGAGCGCGGACGGCGGATAGAGGCGCCACCAAAATGCTCACGGGAGACGAAGCTGATGCCTACCTGACCGAAATGTTGCGTGCTTGCAAGAATTGCTGCCGTCTTGGCTTGTGCGACACGAAGTTCAAAGATACTAACATCCCATCTTCGACCGGGCAGACTGGGGAGTGGAGACACAAGAGCCTCCATGTCCTGCGCGCAACTATCCGAGATCAAGAAGGCAAGCGTTACATGTTTGTCCTGGACGAAGAGGAGGCCTGGAAGGTTGCCGTCGGCGTGCAGAGGCTGCGCAAGGGCACCCAGGTGCGCTCGCTGGGCGTCAGCGGCATGTCTGCGTCCGATGCCAGAGGCACACTCGAGACCCTCGGCTGGGGTTAAAAGCTTGCTGCCGACTTTTGCAGCTTGAAGGTCGATATCTGGTCCTCGATAATATCTAAACGGCTGAGAGGATGACGGGCAGGCAGACTGCTATTTATGAGGCATCGAAGGAAAGACGCGGGACGTGCCAGATGAGCATTTCAGTTTGGACGTGGAATTCGGTTGCATAGCAGAGCGAGGGTGGCACATTCCAGGGAGACTGGATCAAAACATGGCAATGATTTCTACAGCATCGGTGGGCCGGCTTGGTCCACCTTAGGATACCTCCAGCTTTCGGACTTCATCACCGGTTTGACGTCTCAACGGGTCGTCTGCGGGTGGTGATGGTTTGGTTAATGATGATACGATTTTACACATTTTGCGCGGTGTTGTCCAGCCACTCGACTTTGCAGACTAAGCTATGGTTGCTAACCAGGCAACCCCAGCGTTGGAGTCGTTCTCCGATGGGGTCATCCTTGTCGGGCTTATCACCCTCGACATCGTTTGGTCAGCACTGTGATTGCTAACCAGCGTTTGTTTACTCTAGTGCCTATTAAGCGGACCCTGAGAAAACCCTCTAATCCGGGAATGGATGACTCCTTGGCACTGACGTCGTCGTTCGTCTTATCGTAACGGAGGTCAGTGTCATCACCATGTCTTATCTGCAAGAAGAGGTTTGTCAATGATCGGTGAGGGCCTCCGGGCGAAGGGTCTTGGCCCCCACTTGGAGTATCTCCAGAGGTAAAGAGGGAAAGACCTCGTATCCTCCAACTTTGTGATTCATCCGACAAATGTTCGTGGAGACGTGGTGGTCAGCATCCATCGGGCGTGTTTGTTATAAGTCCGCGTAGTTCATGAGGCAGAAGCTGACGCAGTAACAGGCAAGGTACTTTTTTTGATGACGGAAGTGCCATAAAGTTTACCGTGCCGTTGGACAGGCACGTTGACAGGTCCGGTCCGCGTGTGGGGGAACCGTCTGCTTGGGACGGCGAACGCCCGTTGGATCTTGCACCCCGCGGCGATGGACTGTGAATTGTTTCACACCCAAACTTCTATTTCAAAATCTTGCAATGTCACCTCTTCACCATAAAGATGTCGTCTTCACAATTGTCCCTCGATATCATCTCGTTCGGCATTTACTCGTCGGCAAATTCCCGCTCGTCCAATTTGCCGGGCCCCCGGCAAACAGCTGCCCCCAGTCCATTCCCGACATCGGCCGGAATCCTCGACGCCGCGATAACACTTCCTCCCCCCGTCCAAAAATTTCCCCCCTCCATTGAATGACCAAGAGAAACATTCTTCACCGAAATAAAAACGGGTCCGGCCTCTGCTTAGTCGGCAGACCCCCGCTCGACTACCGGGAGGCATCAAAGCTAGCGATGCAACTGAGGAGTCCCGCGATAAGCCAACCCCCGGCGGCCGCCCCATGCAGAGAGAGATGATTGCATATTGCTTATGGCAGAGGTCCTGATTCTAAGGAATAAGCAGCGCGCACTTATCAGCCAAGGCAACGGATCGGATCTCTTCCCTTGGAGCAGTGCTCCAACGAGGTTATAAAGATGCTGCCGTCGTTGCATTTCAGGCAGTCCGGCTCGCCTCCCCAGCCGTGATCTTACCCTTCTCGACAGTCAATGATGAAGGCCTTTGCTTTCCTCACGCTGGCCGGCGCCGCCGTCGCCGACCTCGTGACGACCGGCGCCTCGCTCAAGCTCGACGATGTGTACTACTTCGTCTCCCCCTTCTCCCAGGGCAAACCCTCCAACGCCTCGCTGGACCTCAAGACCCTGCCGCGCGCCTTCGGCTTCACTCCCATCACCGTCGTCGCCGATGCCGTGGCCACACACGACCTGACAAGCCTCTTCAGCAACTGGACAGCCCAGGACGATGTCTGGCAGCCCGCCTTCCTCAACGCCATCTTCCTCGCGGGAGCCGGTCCCAAGTCTACATACGCTCGCGGCAACACCACCTCCGCCGTCCTCCCGCTATCCAAGCTCGCCTCGATCCCGTCCGGCCCCTACTTCCTCGACACCACCACCGGTGAGGTCCACCAGGCCTTCCGCCTATACCCCGACTTCGCCGGCGCCTTCTCCGAGTCCCTTCTCCAAACGCCAGACGGCACCTTCCAGACCCTCTCCGCGCAGGTCCCCGCCTCCGCATCGCTGACCGTCGGCGTCCCCTCGCGGCTGCACTTCACACCCACACCCGAGAAGCCCCTCGCCGGCGTCCGCGTCGGCGTCAAGGACATCTACTCCCTCGCCGGCGTCAAGGGCTCCAACGGCAACCGCGCGTGGTACGGCCTCTACCCGCCCGCCGCCAAGACCGGCACCGCCATCCAGAACCTCATCGACGCCGGCGCCGTCGTCGTCGGCTTCCAGAAGCCCAGCCAGTTCGCCAACGGCGAGACCGCCACCGCCGACTGGGTCGACTACCACGCGCCCTTCAACCCGCGCGGCGACGGCTACAACGACCCCTCGTCGAGCTCCTCGGGCGCCGGCGCGAGCGTCGCCAGCTACGAGTGGCTCGACATCGCCGTCGGCAGCGACACCGGCGGCTCCATCCGCGGGCCGTCGGGCGTGCAGGGCTTGTTCGGCAACCGGCCGTCGCACGACCTCGTGAGCCTGGACGAGGTGATGCCGCTCTCGCCGACGCTGGACACGCCTGGCTTCCTGACGCGGGACCCGCGCATCTGGGACGCGGCGCAGAAGGCGCTTTACAGGGACAACTACACGTCCTTCGCGGGGGCGGAGGTGGTGTACCCCAAAACGGTGTATACCCTCGGCTTCCCCTCGGACGAGACCCCCGCGGGCCAGATGCTGAACAAGTTCGCGGCGAGCCTGGCGGCTTTCCTGGACACGAACGTGACCGAGTTCAACTTGACGGAGGCGTGGGCTTCGTCGGGGCCGGAGAGCGTTAAGGGGTTGAGTCTGACGGAGGTGCTGGGCGCAACGTATGCCACGCTCATCACCAAGGAGCAGACTGCCCTTGTCAGGGACCCGTTTTACGCGGATTACGCTGGTGAGTTTCTGCTGTATTCCAAAAGTTGATAATAGTCACTAACACAACGCAGCCGCCCACGACGGCCGCCGCCCCTTCGTCAACCCCGTCCCCCTCGCCCGCTGGGCCTGGGGCGACACGCAGCCCGCCTCCGCGCTCGACGACGCCAAGGCGAACAAGACGCTCTTCATGGACTGGTTCAACACGGCGGTCCTCGCCCCGACCCCTTCCTCGTGCTCCTCCGGGTTCCTGCTCTACGTCGGCAGCGCCGGCGCCGCGAGCCCGCGCAACGCGTACCTCGAGGCGCCGAGCACGCCGCCGCTGGGGTTCAGTAACGGCCGGCTGTCGGTGTTCAGCGGCGCGCCTGATCATGTGTTTCCGGTGGGCCAGGTGGGCAGCGTGAGCGCGGTGACGAATCACACGGAGATGCTGCCTGTGACGGTGGACGTTATGGCGGCGAGGGGGTGTGATGGGCTTATTGCGAGGCTGGCGCTGGATTTGGTGGAGGAGGGGTTGGTGGTTGTGCCGCAGGTTGGGGCGGGGTTGGATGGCGGGGAGATTCTGATGAGGAGGGATGTGGAGGAGTGGGTTTAGAGGAGGTTAATGATAATGTCTTGATGTGATTGTGAATATGAAGATTATTCTGAAGATATTTGGTTGCTTCCATCGTATCGCTTGTGATCAGTGTTGCTGTCAACGTTGTCTGGTCCGGAGATGTTGTTGCAGGTACCTATTCTTTCTTTTTGCTTACCTACTTATCTATCCTCAGCCAGCTTGATTTCGATTCAACATTAGGTCATGTTGCAAACATCGGTGTCATAAATAGAATGTCAATCCCAACAGCATGGCTATTTCACTTAGAACAGCATTTCAATGCGCCTTTTCGGCGTTTAGGCTATGCATTTCCTCCTCCCAGTGTGATTGGGCTAGCCACCCGTCGATCAGCCTGCGAATACGCAAATGCGAACGCAGTTCGCACCTGCGAGTTGCCTTATTCCTGGGTCCAATGAGCGCGCTGCGAAGGCCAGAACACGCAGCTGCGCAGAGCATCGACACCATACATCATTGGGTAGGCGACGGAGGTGGCGTTTTCGGCCCAAGAATAAGTTGGCCTGACCAGCATCGATCTTGAGTGACAACGTCCACTCTTTGCCTCGTTTATTTCCTACCGCCATTCTATCCAACCTTTTGCCCAAAGGTTCATGTTACCACATTATCAGCATCCATTGCAACAACAGACCGCCGATACCATGGACCCTAAAGCACCGAACGAGATGGGGCAAAACTCATTTCACGCCTTCGCCGAGACGAACGCGGAGACGTGCGGTTACGACTCTTTGGGTGACCGGATTCGGGCCTCTATGGTGAATACCATGCCATCACCAACAACCTCACGGCCAAGCACGACTTTCCTACCCCGCGACCAATTAGACGCCATCATGACCCCAGACTCGGTTCGAGAAGAGCTGAGACAAAGTGCGCCTCATATACCGGAGATGTTCAGAGCCATGTACACCAAGGCGATTTGCAGCCCAATCAAACCCCGACGCAAGATTTTTACGATTCTCGTCCTTATAGACCAGGTGTCTGTGATTTCTAAGTTCATGGACGACGAATTTACGGATTCCAGTCTTCCCGTCAAATTACTCGATGATGGCACGAATGAAAAGGACAGAGTATTGTCCCGCAATAATACGCCTGCACGCTGTCTCATTGGAATGCCAGATAGCTTTCTCCATGCTTTTTATGAAACTCAGTGGATTTGTCTCGCGCCGTTTCTTGACTTCAGTTCCGAGAACCTTCAGGTGTCCAATTTGGAACCTGCCGCGATCCTACCCTTCGTTGAGCTGGGACCCGAACAGGAGTCTTCAGTGGTCAGAGGCGGGTTCGGTTCCGTTTGGAAAGTCGTAATCCATCCCGCTCACCACGATTTTCACCATACAACGAAGAAGGTATTGCGCCCCACATATGATGAACACTTTAAATACTTCGTACTAAGTTATGAGAATTTTAGAATACCTACTTTGCTGTGAAGCAGCTCCGCGGGCTCGATAGCAGTGCGTACAAGGCTGAGCTCGATGCGCTGCAGAAAATCCACCACTTCGAACATCCCAATATTGTCAATGCCCTTTTTTCATATACACACATGGATAGCCACTACTTCGTGTTTTCATGGGCGGATTGTAATCTCCGACAGTATTGGAACAGACATTCGGACTGCAGCCACCGGTCAGGAAAAGAGGTTGCGAGATGGACGCTCCAACAATCTGTTGGTCTTGCGTCTGGCATAGAATCTCTCCACAACACAGGGCCAAACTATGGCAGGCACGGCGATCTGAAGCCAGAAAATATCCTGTGGTTTTCCGACTCCGATGAGAGAGGCAATATGCTAGGAACACTCAAAATATCCGACTTCGGTTTGGCGAAATTTCACGGCGAACAGACACAGGCCAGATACGCCGTAGACGCACACAACTGCGGAACCGCCATCTACTCCCCGCCAGAGGTACAACAAACACGGCGTGTTTCTCAATCGATGGATATATGGTCGCTTGGCTGTGTCTTTCTGGAGTCTCTTACGTGGCTTGCTTCGGGCCGGGAGGGACTGCAGGCATTATCGACATCTCGGGCATCGACATCAACTGGAGCCGTACAGAACAGATTCAAAGATGCATATTTTGAAATTTCAGACGATGCAGAACAAGTGCCAGGTTCTGCGCAGCTCAAAGCAGGGGTCGCGAAAGTGAGTCTCGAATCATGTGCGATAATTTCCTCCATCTCGATGCTTACGATGATCTAACTAGTTTATCGACGAGCTTCGCACCTTTCCCCAATCTTCTTACAGTTTTGACGATGTCTTGAGTTTCGTACAGCACCGCATGCTTGAACCGTCACCCGACGGACGCGCTGGCGCATCAGAAGTGGTGTCGATTCTGACCTCACTCCTGGCCCGATATGAAAGCACCATGCTCAACGAAGGAGGGTCAGGGATAGATAGCATCGTCCACGTTGAGGATGAGAAGTGGGACGAATACGGAGTTGACGATGCCCTGCAACACAATCTGCTTGCTGATGGCGTTGAATTACTCCATACAGTGGAGATTTCCTCTGACTTGTCGTCCAAGTCCTTGTCTCAACAAGTGTGGGACGCCCAGGATATCTCGAGAGAAGAGTTGTCGGCCTCTATCGCTCCACCCCGACCTTCTCCGAGCCCAGAATCACTTTCAGTCCTTCCAGATGTAGATGCATGGAACAACACATTCGACAGCGGTTATTATAGCATACCTTTTCACGCACCAGAACAGTCCGGGCCAGTCGAGCCTCCCGCTCCATCATCAGGACCAAAACGGCGTCCGGAATCACCGCTAGCCAGACCTGCGGCGCGCATCAAGCGAAAGAAAGGGATCACAGATCTATCCACAACGCAAGCATCAACCACCATTCCGCCGAGCCATTCAACTTCCGAAGACCTCAACAATTCATCGCTCTTCCCTTGTCCTTTTTATCATCATGACCGCGCAAAGTATGGCGCCCGACCATGGCGCTGCATGGGGCCTGGGTGGAATATATCTAGACTGAAGTAAGGCGGTCCCTAGCTGGAGGTGTTACATTCACGGTAGACCGAGATTAGTTGGCTAATTGTTCAACAGAGAACACCTGTATCGCGTGCACTCTTTGCCGGAGCATGCTTGCCAGACATGTCTGGCAGAATTCAAGACAGACTCTGAGTTGACAGGTCACAAAAAAGAGGCAGTTTGCTCCAAGCTGAGTGACACAGCCAGCGGCAAGATTGGCAAAGTGAAGGAAGGGAAAATTCGCCAACGACGTCTGAAGGTACCAAATCATGAGAAGTGGAAGGCTATATATGAAATCTTGTTCGACTGCATACCATTCCCCCTCACGGCACCTTCATCGGGTAGGCAAACCTTTCACCTAGGCCACAAGTGACCGTTTCCGTGTTCATCGCTAATGCCCATTATCAATCGCAGATGCTCAGAGCACCCAGCCAACGCAGACGACGGAAGGTCCAGAGACAGTGAGAGGCCTGGAGCAGTATCTACAGAACATGAAGCGACTCGGCGGAAGCGAAGCTTCCCTCGAACGATTGCAAGGCTTTCTTGACATAATACAAGAATATCGCGAACAACATCATGCGAAAGATTCGACAAAAGTCTTCCAAGATCCCTTCCCTGCACTCAACACAAATGATCTCAACATCGCGAATGTTTCCGTTCCGCGATTGTCTGGAAATGAGACAGAACAGTTGACTGATGTCAGCATGGAAGGTGTCATTGCTGACTCCCAACTCTTTTGTGAGGCCAGTGGAGACTGGTGTTTTCCGGATGGATTGAAAAGCACGTTTGAGGTCACTGATGAGTATATGTCTGAGGCGTTTCCTTGCGAGTCCCCAGGAGATCTTCTAGGAGATATCAGCACCGCTGCTGAGGGATGCCTGTATGTACCTGGACATTGGACTTAATGTTTATATTGGCGTGGACTCTCGGGATCGTGTTACGTCTAATTTTGCAAGGAGGATTCTTTTGACGTCTCAGACTGTCTACGTAGTTTTGCTTCAGGGCAGCACGTTTATCTTGCTTGTGTCTCGCTTCCATCTCTTTCTAATTGAACTTATGTTGCTCAAAACGTGCCAATCCTACTGTCTGACCTAGGTAGTGGAACTCGCGGTTTCCTCTGGCGTTTTTCGAGCAAGCGGCCTCAAAGATCGACACAAGTGGATTCCTTATTAGTTCCGGCATAAATTCGCAGGTAACATCCCGTCTCAGCCCTCTCCTTGTTCACCCATAGTTCGAGTGCAGGTCACGGGCGAATGGCCTTGATCCATTAGTATCCCTACGACTGACAGCCTGGGAGAGAGCGATATGTTTGTCATACACCCGAACCTTTGCTCGCAGCAGTGACGTGTCATCCTTCGGTTTGTGCTCCGTAGAAGGCAAAGAAAAGATTGTTGAACTATAATAACTTCCCGTGTCAAAGATGGTCAGAGACGCCGGGAAGTGCAGTGGAGCCTGGAATTCCGGAAATGCGCTTTCCCACATCAACCAACAGCTCGCTACAGCCGAAGTGGGCGAATGAGATTGATCTATCCGTCGCGTACCAACAAAGAGCCCAGACGATGAATATCATTGTCCTACATGTTGATTCCTGCCTGCAGAATGCATAAGTGGCGTGTTGCCACTCGCACTTTCTCGGACTAGGAAGGAGGGATTCAATATAAAGCCCCGCCTTCATCCAACCACCCTCAACGATGTTTCCCCTCGTCCTCCCATGGTAAAATTGTTTTCTCCTGCAATCACCTAGTTGACACAACTCTCGATCGATTCTCATTCTGCAATATTTGTCGGTGTACATCATGGGTGACTCTTCGAAAAAGGATTTTAGCCCACCACGAGCGGTCGAGTCCGCTCCAGGTGCAGCGGACCCGGCTTCTCCTCATGGTCGTGTCGCGGAGCAATCCACTTCCGGTCCAGCTACATCACCTCAAGGATCTTCCCCTCATGCCGCTGAAGATTTTTCCCATGCATCTGAGCCTGATGGTGTTGCTCTCGAGGCGGACGCTGGGAACACGGTCATATGCCACGATCGAAACTCTCAGTAAGAACCATGCTGACTTGGAAGTCAGCCCAACGATCCCGCGGAGATGGATGAGCGCATGTACGGATTCCTGCCACCGTTTCCTGGACGAGTCTGACTGATATAATTAGCTCGAACTACACTGCTTCGCTGGCCTCAAGTGTTGTCGATTATCCCATCGAATACGGGCGCCGCTACCACGCTTTCCGGCCCGGAGGTGAGTTGTCCTCTGTGCCAACACTTTGACAATCTTCTACTTCCCTGACACAACCAGTCTATGCCTTCCCGAACGACGAGGTTGGTCTCTTATCACGAACTCTCATCACGCGTAACCTGCATTGCTGACAACAGCACAGGCCGAAATGGATCGCCTCGACATGTCTCATGCGGTGAAAGTCAGATCAATCGGCAACAAGCTCTTTCTTGCGCCTCTCGAGAAGGAGAAGGTCCACAGGATTCTTGACATTGGAACGGGAACTGGGATTTGTACACACCGAGAGCAGTCCAGATTCAGACACTTGCATGCTAACTTTGTTGTGCAGGGGCAATTGAGATGGGCGATGTCTTTGAAAATGCGGAGATTATCGGCATTGATCTGAGTCCTATCCAGCCGAAATGGTAGTTTCTTCTCCGTTGCCTCTATCTTCCATGGGAACTGGCGGCTAATACATGACACAGGGTTCCTCCGAATGTGAAGTTCGAAGTCGACGATGTCGAGAGTCCCTGGGTTGTGAGTTGCAAGTACAACTACATCATGTGCAGACACATGGTGGCTTCAATTCTGGACTGGCCGAAGCTTGTCCGCAACATTTACGAGTAAATAACCTTCCTTCAACTGCCCAGCTTCCAGAACTATTTCCAGAGACCTGCATCATAAGGCCAACACTGACATACCAATGTCCAGCAACTTGGAACCAGGCGATTGGGCCGAATTCCAAGAATTGTCCGTGAAGTACCACACTCAAGACGGAACATTCACCGAAGACCACGCAACATACAAGTGGAATAGGACCCTGATCGAGGCCTGTAAGATGATTGGCCGTGACGCCTGCCCGGGACCGAAAGTCGAGGGTTGGGTGCGGGATCAAGGATTCCGGAACGTACACCATCAAAAGTTCATGCTCCCGGTTGGCCCCTGGCCCAAGGAACCCCACTACCGAGATATTGGCATGCTCAATCTGGCCCAGACACTGGAAGGTCTGGAGGGCTTCTCCTTGAAGCTCTTCTGCGGTGTCCTCGGACGAACGAAAGAGGAGGTGTTCGTTGAGCTTTCGCAGGTGCGAAAAGAGCTGAAGACGGGCGCGTTCCATGCCATGTTTGACTTGTAAGTTATGAAGAGCCGAGCTCTGATCATGTTGCTGATTTTGTGCAGACACGTTGTCTATGGACAGAAGCCCTTTGAGACGGAGGCAGAAGAATGAGCTACACGGGCAGCCAGAGCCTGGACTACACGGCAGGAAATCTTTCTTTCGAGACACAGATTAGCAACAGCAGTCTTTGTTATTTGGTGCAGCAACATGTTCACCCAGCCACAGAATTAATCGAGTATTATGATGGTTAGTGCGCAGTAAGCAATTGTTCCTTCAACGCCTCTGATCAACTCAGTGTCACTTGAAATTACTCCCCACGAATGACGTCTAATACGGTCTATCTTCGAACTGTCAAAAGATACAAATTAAAACTTGAATATTGGTCAAACAAGTTCGACCTGTAAAAGAAATTTCCCAGATACGTAAGGCTTTCTACATGCTATAGCAACTTTTGCGAGATGTCGGACCAGAAGAGTGGTTTGCCATCTCCCAGTCCTCCGAACGTTCCGTGAGCTTTGCAACGTCGTCGGGATGCTCTTGGTAATGTCCGGAGTCATCCAGAGAGCGGAGCGCTCCGTTATCATAACGCGGAGGACGTACTCCCAGGCGGCCCCGTCCCCGCGTCATCCGGTGGATCGGCGACACGCCGATCCAATCAGTCATTAAGGAACCGCAATCATCATGCAATCTCCAGTGGAAAAAAAAACCTACAAGTCAAGACAGACGAACGGTCTTCGGTGACTCTGTCTCCTCCGCATCAAGCCGCCTCGGCTCCCCCGCACGCCAGCATCATCCCATCTTTTCCCCCAGCTTTAGACTCCAATATCCCCGCTTCCCACGCAAGTTGGAAGTCTCCAAAACGCGATTCGTTGGAGAAAGGAGAGAAGGTGCCCACATCATACCTCGGCTCCCCAAGTCTTGATATCCTTGTACACATCGATAAGTGCTGCAATAAGTCCAACCGTTCCTCCCGCGTCTTCAACATCATCGTCGCCGGTCTTCTCCAGAAGGACTCCATCATCGCTTTACAGATACTCGGTCTTTTCCAGCAGTAACAGGAACTAGAGACGAATCCTCGAACCTCGGCTGGCCCATATATTCAACGCCGTCCATCCCATCCATCCCGTCCGGCTTCGTTGACTGATTTTGTATAAGTCCTCCAGTGACTCTCAGCTTCACGACGTAGCCTGAGGTTCATCAACACAGAACTCTCTCTCATCAAACCTCACGATACCGAAGCTTCAATCATAATGGCAACTACCAACACACCTCAACCCAGCTACCAACACCTCATCGACCACGTCGAAGAGCACGGCTACGTAATCATCCCCAACGCCTTCACTGAGGCCGAGATCGAGGAAGCCACCAGCGAACTCGCCCGCCTCGCAGCCGACGCCGCCTCCGCCGGGCCCGCAGGCGGCGACCGTGCCGGCCGCAACGACTTCGAGGGCCTCAACACCAAACGCATCTACGCCCTCCTCAACAAGTCCCCCGTCTTCCAGAAGTTCCCCCTCCACCCGGCCCTGCTCGCCCTCAACGACCACTTCCTCGACCCGGGCTTCCTCCTTAACTCCTTCCACAGCGTCTACATCCAGCCCGGCGAGGCGCCGCAGATGCTCCACCATGACGATGGGTTTGTCACCGTCCCGCGGCCTCATCGTCCGTTTGGCACCGTAGGTGACCCTTCTATCAAGAACAACGGCTGCTTCTGATTTGTCGACAGGGCGTCATGGTCGCAATAGACGACTTCACCCCCACCAACGGCGCCACCCTCGTGATCCCGGGCTCCCACAAATGGGGCGACAAGGACCACGACCGCGCTCCCCGCCGCGAGGACGCCGTCCCCGTCGTCATGTCCCGCGGCAGCGCCGTCTTCTTCGTCGGCACGCTCTGGCACGGCGGCGGGCAGAACACCTCTGACCGCGAGCGCAGGAGCATGACCGTGCAGTACTGCCAGCCCTGGATCCGCCCGCTCGAGAACCAGATCCTCGCCGTCGACTGGGACAAGTTGGACGGCATGCCGCGGCGGCTGGTGGATATGCTCGGGTACGGGGTGGGCTCGCCATTTATTGGGTACGCGGATGGGATTCACCCGTGGAAGGTGGCGCAGAGGCGGATTAGGGAGCAGAAGGAGCTGCGGGCTGGGTCGCGGCAGGGGAGGTTGTGAGATGAGACGTTGTGGGCTGTCTGGTTCTTAGATTGACACCGGGGTTTTGGGTATTACTTTAAATGAAATATGTGTAGCATAGAATCGAGCCGTTCTTTTTCAATGTTGTCGAATCCGTCTACCTAGCGTCTATACAGGACTGGCTCTGGTTTCGAAACCTGCTCAACTATTAGGAGGTCTATTATCGTTATTGCCCCTTTGATCCTCGCCTTCGTCCTCTACATTCGCCTTACTGTTATCCTCGTCGTCGTTGTCGTCATTGTCGTCATCTCTGCCGTATAAAAGCCCCCGCCCGAAACTGTCAGAGGGATGCTTCCAAACATCAAATTTACAAATCAATGATAATATAATAACTTCCATGAAAGATTTGAGATAGGGATCATATCTGATTTGTAACGATCCGCGTAAACCCAATCTATCTAATCTGATTAGAGGTGAAGCTCGGTCTGAACCCCTGGTCTTCTAATGCTCAACAGACGACTTGAAATTGCCCTGTATGCTCTATTCCACCTCAGGCCCTGCACCATCCCATCTTTCCTTCCAATGAATACCTCGAGCTTGTTGTCGAGAAGTGTTATATCAGCTTCACTCTCGGCTGCCTCGAGGTGGAACCTCAAGCTTCTCCAATGTTGCCGGTTGTAGAGAGCTTGGAAGACCGCTATCATCGTTGAACAATGAAATCCTGCCTCCTGAAAGCCGGCACCGCCTTGTTGGTCATGTGTCTCCTCCATCGTAAGGCGATGTGCATTCTCCTGCTCATCAGTCTCCTCCTCCTCCTCCTCCAAATTCTCGCCCTCTTCACCATCCATATGCTTCTGATGTCTGTCCACCCATTCACGGTCGTTCGCAAGAGGCATCGGGGTTTCGATCCTTGTCAGAAGTGTTCCCTCGAGCCTAACAGGCTGGCTTCTTACTAGATAGCCAAGGTCTTTCTGCGATACAGGCGCTCCCGAATCGTCGATAAATCTGCCCGCGACCCACCGTAATGGGAATTGGATCCGATGCTCGTCCTCGTCGCCCCTCGCACACTTTCTATCGCTTCTCTCTTCTTGATCGGCCATCGTAATTTTCTTTGCAGTAAAGCCGCAATCTTGTGCTGCTGGTGGGAATGTGAAGATGATTTTTGGTTGGTTTACCGGTGAGGAAGGTGGACGAATGTTGACAGTGGAAAAGTGAAAAAGTGAAATGGTCGGGAAGGAGAAGGTGGTGGATGGTGGGTGGTGGGTGGCTAGATTGGTGAGGAAGGCGCGGCTTACACCTTGATTTTTTGGACAATTTGTTTTTTGGGGGCAGTCGCAGAAATTCCTGTATTTCCGCAGTTCAGCTACTTACTTGAGGGATATTTCTGAGTGCTTAATAACAGTCTCTTCCCCTCGTCCCAGTTGGTTCGTGTTACTGCGGACCACTTACCTCTGATAGCTCTCAACCTCATGCACCACTACATACCCACCAGACGCTGAAAATGCGAACATAATCAACACATATAGTTGTAATAACAAAATAAAATACATTACAATTCTCCGATCTTGAACCCCGCCCTTGACTGGCAAAAAGAAAGTGTAACTCTTTTCTTCGCGGAAGCGCCTGCCTTAACGGAGCGGCTTCAGAGTTTGAAGTGCAACGCGAGAGGAGGAGATCTTACATCTTCTGAATGATTTGCGACTGCCACTGCAAATAAGACAGGATCAGCACGCCCAAGAAAGGATCAGCGCTCTCACATCGGATCGTCGTTGCACAAAGTTTAGTTTGAACCCACAAAACCTGCAGCCAGCCCAGCCCAGCCGTTTCGTTGGTGTTGGTGGCTTGGACAAACCTGCATGAGAGGCAAACAAGCTATCGGGTCCGAGGACTAATCTCACACCCAATCATTTTTCATCACCATGTCGCGCAAGGAAAGCTCAGGATGGTTCTACTTATTGATTGTATTGAGATGACCATGATAGGTCGTTGTCTTCTTCCTCTTACTCCCCAAGATAAACCACCATCTTCAAGAGTATCTACAAGAATAGGATTAAGACTCGCACATGCGAAGATTACTATTTGTGCCGCATCTCATTGGATGCCGACAATGTGCCAGTATGTGGCGCCATGTGCCTTCCTACTCTTCATCGCTGTCCTCAGCGAATATTCCCACATGATCATGATCAGCCTTCCCGGCTGTGGTGTAAATGCCCAGTCAAATCGACAAACCGCCAACCAATGCCAGCTCTTGGCTATTTTTCTTTCCAGCCCAGCCATGATGTGACACACTAGAGACTAATATAAAAGATGTAGATAAAGACCGAGTGATAACTCGAGAGGCCCGCGGGGGCGGCGAATTATGAAAAGAAGTAAATGCGAAAGAATGTTTGAGGGGTATCAAGGCGCTTGCTGGAAAATCAAATCTCTAAACATGACTCATAGCCATCCGTGCAGATCGTTGAACAACCTGGTGTTGCTGTACTGCTGGCGTGATGCTGTCTACCAGAAGTTGAACGCCATCGCCAGCACGATTGCTGCTGTCGACAGGGCCCATGACGGCATTGACAACCCCGCTTTGCTGACGGCCGCTAGCAGCGTGATATTGACGTATTCGGGGCCACAGATGGTGTTGACTTGGCTGGCGGCATCCTCGTACGTATACGAAATAGGGAGCCTCCGATTGGACGTGTACGTCTGGTAGATTTCCATGGTCCGTCTGAGACACGAGCCGCAAGTAGGGTTGGCGCTGCCGGGGAGAGTCATGTTGAGAGGGAGGTAGTAGAAGTAGACATTCGAAGGCGTGGTCAGGTTGGTGACGGCGTTGGCGAAGCAGTACATGGACGTGTCGGGGTCAGTGAGACAGGTGGCCTTGTATAGCATCTCATACGACTTCATGCCGAGGTAGGCTTGCATGACGATGGGGTTGCCGGCTTCATAGTCCGATCCGCAGTTGGCGGCCAGAGTCAGGTTGCTGGCCACGCCGTTCAAGTACGTGGTGCAGAAGTCGACATCCGCACTGCAGGTGGCGTCGAGTACCTTGACAATGCTCAAGAGCTTCTTCTCAGCCTCGAAGAAGGACCTCGAACCCTGGACAAGTTAGTACACATTTTTAGTCGGCATATCGTGAAACTCACCTGAAGAAGCATAGAGAGCGGGTAGCACTTCTTAAAGTTGGAGTTGGTGAGGACTTCGTTGATGAAGCGGGGGCAAGAGGCGCCGTCGTTGCTGGTGAAGTTGAAGGCCAAGCTGGTGTCGAAGGGAGATGGCAGAGGCGACGCAGCCTCGACGGTCGCAGCAGGAACGGTAACTGAAAGAGTCAAGGTGGTCGGGTCGTCCGTTGCCTTGACCGTCTGGGTCGCAGTCGCTGTTGCGCTGTCGTCGTCACGCTTCTTGAGCTCTTCGTAAGGCATCATGGTCCAGCGGCCCTTGATCATGGTCGGGGTGCGGTCGTCGACGACGAGGGCGTCCATTGGGGCAATGACTGCGGGGGCGGTAATCTGAGCGGGGAGTTCAGAAAGAGATTCGGAGGTGGCCGAGACCATGGAGGCGATGGTGAGGAAAAGGAAAAGCCATAGTGACCGTGGCCTGCGGGGGGAGGTTGAGTGTGTAGCGAATGAAGACATGATGAGAGGTGAGGCCATCATGAGGAAGCTGCGGGACGCAGGTTGGAGATGCGGAACATAATCCTTTTGCCGGACTGTGGTGGCAAGATACGAGAAGAGGTGCCTCTCGCTCGATGTTGGCTGGGCAGATGGTTTTGTTGGTTTCCCTGGAGAACCCCACGTTGTGATCGGCGTCGATTGTCTCTAGCCGGTGATCGACCAGATCACGCACGCGATGGTGGATATATTATGGCACCAAGGAAAAACAAGAGCACCACTCCACTACTTGCACCAAGGTGGAGGACTTGTGCAGGCGACCTATTCGGTGCTTGTCGAGAGCCGGTGAGTTCGGATGCAGGCGGGTAAACGAGTGATCCGCCAGATGAGTTTCCAACAACACCAATGAAGGAGTCGAATGCGAGCTGAGAGCGATGCAGTCGAAGGATTAATAGCGAATCGGTTCGGTAGCCTCCGGCGTAAACCCTCAAGTCGGCGAATCCTTCGCAAGCGGTCGTTTTGAGATTATTCGGAGTGATTAAATAGTTGCTCGAGCGATATCCAAATGCTCGAAGCTTTCCCGGTTGTCGACGCGCTGGTTGACCTATCTCGGCGGAGCGAAGAAGACAGGAGTCAGATGAAGTGCGTGCGGTCTCGAGGTCGTCGACTGACAGGCGTATTGTCGTGTCGAGGCGAGCAACTCAGTCGGCTTGGACGGTTGGCGACAGGAAGCAGGTGAGGCTCTGAAAGGGCGACGACGATCCCTGGCTCTGGCTGGGGGAGAGGAGGTGATTAAGAAGGAGAAGCAACGAGTGGATGGGTGGACGGGACGGGACACTATGGAATAGATGGGATGGGATGGGGGGAGAGCGAGCAATATTGGCTTGGCTTGGCTCGCTCGCGTGGTGGGAGGCACGGTTGGCCCTGGCTTGCTCGGTTCCTGGGATGGGATGGCACCAGGGGAACAGGGGTCCAGGGGAACGAAGCCTTTGACGGTTGCCGCTGCTGCTACTGCAGTGCGGTATGTCTCCGTACCTTACTCAAGGAACGGTACGGATAGACGAACCTGCGTTGGGTGTAGAGAGCAAAGGGCCGCGCGCTGGCTTCTGCAGTGGAGTCTGGACGAAGCATGGACGGCACCCGTGGTGGGCTGCGTCGTATTTTCATTCAGGAATCAGAGCAAAAAGGGAACGGGGGGTTTGGGGGCAAAACTTGTCAATGATTCCGCTATCGCGCAGCAGAACGCAGCACAGCGCAACGCAACGCAGCGCAAGACAAAAACCCGGACCTGGACAGACAGACCCAGACCCTCTGCACCCTCACCTGGGACCTGCACACGCACCGGGCCAGCAGACGAACTGATGTGGCCAAAGTGCGCTGCCCTGAACTTGGACTTGTTCGTGGCCGGTGGTCCATGGTCCAGGTCCACGAAAGAACCGGCACCCCTGGCAGGGACTGGGGGCTTGGAGCAGGGGGACAGGGGTAGGGCAGCAGCACGCCAGCCGCTAGCCGCTTGAGGAAGGGCGCCGGGAGGGGGGAAAGGAGGAGATTTGGCGTCAAGCCACTCAGCAGCAAAAGCCAATATTCTAATTCTTGTACCTGGCCACTCAGATCAGTATGAGAAAATACTTTGACGACTTTCTCTCCACTTGCCTGCGATGCACCGCACATGGGGACACGGGGACGGGGGGCGGAAGGGGAAGGGGAAGGGCTGTGTTGCCCAGGGCAGTCGAAGCTTGGAACCTTGGAAGCTTGGGAGTTTGTGCTTGACAGCTGCGATTCCCGGGCTGCGGGTTTGTTGACGTCGTCATTTGTTTCCTACCCGGGTCCCGCTCCGCTCAAAAGCAATCGGAGATGACTGGGAAGGTCGATATCGTCCCGGCAGATGCCATGTTGAAGTTGGAATCTGCTCCTTGGCTTGAGTCCAGTTGGCGGCGGCACGGCGGCTGGCTGGCTGGGTAAGGCGGCATGAACAAAGAGAAACAACCTTATTATCGGCACCAACGGGCGACCAACCGGACTCTCGCGGAGTGTTTTGGTCGCATCGGCCAGGCGGTGACTGCAACGGCCGATACGACGCAACGCAGCAGCCCAATGCAGTGAGCGAGATATGTGCCGCGCTGCAGCATATTCCCAAGGACGGCTATAGTCAGTGAGATGAGGGTAAAATGTCGCGCGCGAAATAATGGTTCAATAGGCGGCTGGGAGACAAAAGCAAGCGAACCGGGCAGAGGCAGAGGCAGCAGGGCCCAGCATGCCTACCGGTGGTCTAGAACAGCATGATCGAGGCAGGGTTCCAACGAGGGATGAGTTTCTCAGACGGTTGATTGGCCATGAAAAGGAACGAACAACACGTCAGACTGCTGACTGGAATTGTCGAGTTGTCTCTGATGAGCAGTCGAGGTAGCCAAATCGGTGCTTTCAGTCATCGGCCCCAGTGTCTTGTGCAGTGTTGTTGTTTGGATGCAAAAGCAAGAGCTAACCACGGCGAGCGGGAGATGACCACCCTCATGCCCGAATCGGGAGGCAGGAGGCCCACCCTTGCTCCTGCTGTTGTTTGTGTGTCGTGCTCACGATATGGAGGGGGCACAGGCATGGTCGAGGTCGTGGGCCGGTGCCGGCAGGAGCGGGTTTTGGTGGAGGCAACTGCCCAGGTGGGAAAAGCAGGTGCCGCCGACTGGCATTGGAGCGCTGGCTGGAGCCCTGGAGCACTGGGACGGAGGCCCTTTCACCCGTTCTGGCGGTGCATTGCGCTCAATGTCCGGCTCGCAGCCTGCTGCGCCTGAAGTTGTGGGGGCTGGATTCGTCTGTCTTCAGGTGGGAGTTGGCGCCGTTGATCGTCGCTCACCTGTCACAAATCTTTAGTGTTTTGCAAAGTATCGTAGAGTACATGCCTTGGGTAAAGAAAGCCTCCGCTCACATCGTCTATTTTGAACCACACTGGGCTGCCCCGTTTCCCACGACAACGGAGCTTGACTGCCGACTGCCCAAGAAGGTTGTAGCCAAGGACCAAGGCAGAGAGAGCGTGACCCCTCGCAGCTTGCTGATAACGGATGATGGATTGCGTATCGCCCCACATACCAGCTAATGACCTGCACAAGGCAAGAGCAGCTGTGCGCCTGCATATGCACATTCCCCGACCCCGACTCGACCGCGAGATGTGCATCGCCGGCTGGGGTGTTCCTGTCGGGACACGAGGAGCAGTTGTGAAAATGCGGAAGGAGCTCCAGATTGGCCGCGGTGCACAATGCCTGCACCTGAAAAAAAATGCAGATTAAATCGGCGAATCATAGCGGGCTCTGCTAAGATGGTGGGGCGTGTCATTGGTCCAAGTGTCGCGTCCACCCCCACTTCCCACTTGACGGCGCGACAGGCAAGCGCACAGGAGTCAGGAGTCAGGGCGTGCATTCACATTATTCAATATTTGCCTGGAAGGAGCTCCTCAGGCCTCCTTCTTGCTCAGCTTCCAATCCAACCAATCCAACATCACCACTCCAAAAGGGAAGGCTCATCTCGTTGAATGCTGCCTTCCAGGTTGCTTACCTGGCACGAATGGGCCTGGCCTAACGGGAAACGGCGGGACACGACGCTGCCCTGTGTCTAATGATCCAATGATCCTCCCGGCTGTCAAACTTTGTTGCTTCATTTACAATTGGGGGCTTCGAGATGGTCTCTCCCAGTAAAAATAGCGACTCCCGACTAGGCCATCCCTGGACAAACAACACTCGAACACGTCTGTTCTCGCCTCTCTCAGGAGAAAAGAAAGAAAAAGAATTCTTTGCTAATTGCCCATCTCCGCTCTCCATTCTCCGGCTCTCCTATCCAGCTTCCGTGCGTCTTTTCCGATCCAGTCCAAGATTTGACAGCCATGCCGCATACCGCAATTTGGACCCCATCGTCTGAGTCGTCGTCACCCGTTGGCCTGACGTGGCCCGAATAAGGAATTTCAAAATGCCTCTAGCCTCGATTCGTCTCAATAAACATTTGCCATGCAGCTGCGGTCATCGCCCGACAGATGCTGCCTACGAGCATGACAAGCTCACGCGATGGCCTTCCTCCTCTCATTCATCCTCGGCCGCCAATCCCATCGAACCTTGGGAGGATCTCCAGCCTCCAACCTGCAGCTGTCATTTCGTTGTCATCCTCGTGCTCAATTCAATGACATGCGCCAATGAGGCACCCAAATCAGCCGCCATCGTCAACAATGTCAGAGTCTAGGCCAAGGCCGCCGAAAAGATTTGCACTGGAATCGACCGATTCTGCAAGGCGCCAGCCGGCCCGCTGGGAATCCAATCACGTCTTGTGTCTCCAGCTGCTCATTTCCTGCCATGCCGCCCACGCGGGGTCCCTTGCCATCAGCCGCAGTTCATCCACACGCACATGCGCTGGTCGACTTCACTCCTGCAACGAAGAACCCTACCGTCGTCCCCCGCGCGATCCCCGTCGGAGGGTTGACACGAGCCTTTCGTCTTCGGACGATTACGCCAAAGTAGAGTGTCCCGGCGTAGACTTCATCTATCAACAAAGTCAAATACATGGTCCGAGAAAAATGTTCAGCACATCTCCCAATATCGGATGGAGCGGCCCGACTAACAACCACTCAATTCCGATAACCGTATTCGTCGGCTCCCTGCAGACAGGATGCTCCCTCCAGCCTTCGAGAAGTCTTCACAGAACCCTCTTTCGACTGTTTACCCTCTGTCGTCAAGGCTCACTACCTATCCGAGGTGGTGTCATGTCACTTGGGTCTCATTTCCCTCGACCCGATACGCCGGTGAGCACGTCAGGAATGCCATCTCCCGCCGCCGCGTGTCTGACTGCCACACGGCCCTGAAGGAAACGGCCTGTCTTGGTATTGGCCCGCGGCGTTTATGGCTGCCTTTTCCTCATCCACAGCTCGCATTTCTTGAATGCTCCCAACGCCGTGGCTAGCGTACAGGCGGCGCGAGGTCTATCGATTTGTGGCTTTCGCGGTGCCCCTTTTAGTCGACGGGTACCTGCGCCTCCTTGCATACCGCCCGCAAACCGTTCACTTGGGAGATGCTCAGACCTCAACCGTAACCCGACAGGTTTTGTGCGACGACGCCACGGATCGCGTGTGTGTGATGAAGAGTAATGCAGCAAGCTGATGTGATCAGTCGGGCCGCGGTATGATATCACTGCCCCTATTCGGGCTATCCGGCTTCAATGGTCTTGCTCGGGTTGCCGGGTCCCCGTCCAGCGACCCGAGTTACTGGAGATCGGCAAGGACGGCGCGTTGACTGCGCGTCGACGGCAGCTCGGGCTCGCATATCCTCGTCAAGTGTGCTCCACGCCAGCATTCCAACCACGTTGAACGCCCATCATGGCCAAACCTAACAAGGTTGTGATCATCGACTTTTCATGGCTGGACGAGCACAGCTTTCATGGTTGAGTCGGGCTGGGTCTAGACCGTATCCCCCTTCCAGAGCTTGAATTATTGTCCGTCGGCGCGCACAGATGTTCCACAGACATGAGACGACTGAGGCGATGTTGCTCAGCGGCAACCTGATACAACTTCGCCCTGCTTGCGTACTACCCGATGTATCGTGCAGGTGAGGCTCAAGAATCACAACAATGCTTTTGAGTGACCACATCAAACAAGGTGAGTTCACAACACGAAGTCACCGAGACACAGCTGCCGGCTAAATCCTCCGCCACACTCGGGCGGACGAATTGGGAGCCAAAGTCGGCAAGCCGGCTTGCGGTCCTCGCTGAAACTCAGACAGGTCTCACCCGCATACCTTGTGGGACATGGGCAGATGCGAACGACCTGACGACACGACTTTGACGCCGGCAGTATCCCTTCGAGCAGGGAGGCATTCACGACATGGCGTTGTCTAAACCTGACCCGAAGTGAGGACATGAGCTGCTCCCTGACAGCTTCTCCAAAGCTGCCGAGACGAAACAGTCGTTGACTTCCCCAAAAACACTCCGAGCCTTTGCTTCACATCATGTCCTCAACTAATGTTTCAGCCACGCCGCGAACACAGGCCGAGCAGCCGCTCAAATACCATGTCGTCGTCATCGTGTTGCCGAACAATAACAGACGGCAGCCCTATGTTCGTCCGTGTAGCGTTGCGATCGCATCCGCGCGGCACCCGGGCACAAGGACCGATAGACTCCACGCGAGCTCCGTGTGACGGCCGCGCGTCGGGGTCGAGCGGGGCTCAGTCCGGGCTGTCCCGCCCACAGACCACAAACAACCAAAATATCCCGGACAGCACGCTCCTTGGCATTGCGGCTCTTTGCAAGGGCCTGAGGGATTCTCGTTTGGACGTGCGCATGTTTGTGTTTCCAGAAGGACGAAGGATTGACTCGCCCCCACGCCGGTGATCGGTGACGCTGCAGACGCATTGTGTTCCAAAGATAACAATATCGAGCGGGAAGCCTAGCATCAGATCTGGGAGTCCAGATCCCTAATGATCTTGCGCTGGCTCACAAGGCTGATGTTGTGGGGTCCTGGGGTCCTTGTTGCTGTAACACAACACGCTAGAGCGTCGAGATATGAGAAGAACAGGTGAGCACGACTGTGATGGTATGGCTCGCATGAGACTTTGAATCCTGCATGTCGATGCAACTACCGTGTTCAATCCCAGGGCGTCTGAAGTGGAGTTGAACAGAAGACGGACCGATTTACTGCCTTGGTCGGTTCCCCTGAGAACCCAATGACCGTGAGGTCCCGCGCATCCTTTCAGAGGAGAAAAACTTGTTCCTTCGGGCCACAGTGACAATTTTCAATGGTCAGTGAGGCGTCACAAGCGAACTGTTAATTGAAGTGCCGGCGATATCCAGTCACCCTGGCTTAAGAGGGTTGAGTTGAGGAGGTGACGAGGACCTTAGCTCTCCAGAAAACCTGAGTCTCAACATGAATCGATATTCAAAGGATCGACTTCATCTCAGCGAATTCGCAGGATGTGCCATGCCAATGTAGCTCCTAGCTAGCTTATTTCTCTCTTTAAGGGCGACAATGTTTGCACGGCAGACTGTCAAGTCGGCATCTCTGCCACGGTCTCAACGTCACTCATGGCGGCTACTCCTCCATACAGGCATGTATAAGGTACACACAAGTATCATCCAAAGACGATCAGGGACGACGGCATACTAGTCCCGTCGCGATCAAGTTTCGTTCCTGATGTATTTAATGTTTCGTAGCGGATAAGAGAGTCGATCGTTGTGATGGAGATGTCCCACAGAAGGAAGTTCTCCTCCGGGAAGACTCCCGGATTGCTGGTGTCGTCAATGTGCCTTCGACAGGAGAGTGTTTATATAGCCAATTCCTGGATGCGCCGCAGACGTGCTCTTCGAAAGTTTGGTACGTGTATATATTCCATTGCGATGGGGTATAGTTGAACCCTCACATCCAGACACAATCGCATGTCGAGTCTCCACAAGCTCTTCCATGATCAGATTCCTCGAATGGTGTGTCATAACGGGCGGAGAGCTTGGTTACGGAGAATCGTGAGAGACGTCGTACTGGCTTATACACTTCTACATACGTGAAGAATAGAGAGAGACGACGACGACGACGACAAGAAGCAGGACACTATTCAGAGCACTTCAGAAGATCTTGCAGGGGAATGTCAAGGAAGGGAAGCTACGTAAAGATACCTACACCATGCTCAGAGTATACAAAGACGCCCCGCGACGCCTCCCACGACTGCACCCCAGTCTGGTTCACAATCCTAACCGCATCCGCATCCCTCTCCCCCTCCAGCACCTTCCTAACAAGCAGCCTTCCAAGACTCGGATCCCCCGCCCCCAGCTTCCTCAACAACCCCGGGTCCCCGCCGAGGTTCGTCGCCAACTGTCCCGGCGAAACCCCCCAAACCTTCACCCCGTCCGCCTTCAACGTCCAGTGCCACGCCAAGACGAGCATGTTCAGCGCCGTCTTGCTGACGCGGTACCCCGTCGGCGCAAAATGGCTTGCCGGCTTCGGCCACCCGGCCGCGGGCGCCTCGCCGGGCCAGAACTCTTCAGCGAACCGCGCGAGGTGGGCCGTCCCGCTGGTGAGGAAGAGCACGCGCGGATCGTCGGGGCCTATCAGCAGCGGCGCGAAGCGGAGCGTCACGACGTGCTGGCCCGACACGTGTGTGTTGTACATGGCCTTGAAGGCTTCGCGGGGGGGGGGGGCATGTCTGGCTCGGTGAGAGCGCAACCTGGCCAAGTCAAAATCAAAGCGTCTTCAAGGATGCGAACAAGGCATCATCTTACCAGCGTTGTTCACCAGGTAATTCAGGCGGCCGTGCTTCCACTGGACGAGCTCAAAGACGCGGGCGATCGATTCATCGCTGTCGACGTCGATCTGGACGACTTCGAGGGTGCTCGCCGTGGAGGGGACGTCGTCGCGGAGTTGCGCGGCGGCGGCCGCGCCCTCCTCCGTAGATCTGGATCTGAGAAGAATGTGGTATTATGTGTCGGAGGAGAGGAGCGCTTTGATGGTCTCGTAGCCGATGCCGGTGTTGGCGCCTGTTATGAGGGCGACTCGTTTGGCGGATATTGTCTGCTTTTGAACCTTTTTGGCCGCGGGTGAGACTTTCTTCGATGTTATTCAAGTTGCATAATGGGAGCACACTGTTATGCCTGAATACCCAAAGTCTCGAGAGTCAAGGCCGCGGTTGCCCTTTTATGCTGTTCTCGAATAACCGTCAAGGAGTAAGTCGGCTGCAAGTGACCATCGTGTAAGTGGGCTTAAGGATCGGATTTCCAAACTCCGCAGGCTTGGCAAGCCGCGGACGGCGGACGTTTAACTGCAGGTACGGGCCCGGGATTGAGATTCTAGGCCCGGAATGACTTTAATATCCCACCGGCTCCGTGAGGCGCTAAAGCCGGATTGTAACGAGCAGCTGGAATAAGAATCTATGAAATCAAGGAAGGCAAGGGACCATCAGCCTTGGACGTGTTGCCGCCGCCTCATGAGGAAGTCAATTCAGCGTTGAAGAGTGCTTATGTGACGCATTGTGAACGAACATACTACCGGCAGTACAAGACGACATGATTAGTGACCGAGGGAGGTGTTCCGACTGGGGCGGGCTTTCGTGTCACGTCAATGCAACGATTTCACAGAAACATTCAAATCCAAGTGTTTCCATCGGTCTCAAGCCGAAAGGGCAGTCCATCTTGTCCTCTCAGACTACTTAGCTACCGATCTTCCTACTTCCCTTTATACTATCCGCCTCTAGGTCATGGCATTGACGATTTATAAAGCGGACGGTTACGGAGTGGTGCTTTTTGTTCCACACAGAAATCTTTCGGTACGCTGCTTAGGTTGTTGGAAATTGCAGACTGGCTTCCTCCATGAGCAGTGGCACGCAGCTGAGGGCCCGTTTTCAGCTGAATGAATCCAGCAAGTCAGAGCAATAAGCGCGGAATAAGTTGGCGTAATAATCTTCATATTCAGTCAAAGAGGAAGACGGACGAGTGAGGCCCCGAGATTCAGTAAGGCAAGCCAGAGTTTTGGAGCTCCTCCGACCTCAGCATTATTTCACGGCTACCGTGCAGAGACGTTCTATCACGAAAGTCGTCCTCGAAATGAACGCCCTAATTGGTGTCCTGACCAGGGCGAGCTTTTGGGCCATTTTAAGTATTGTCCACAAAGGCCCAAAATCGAAAGTTCCCACGAGTCTCGCATCACCAAAGTGGTGGTAGTCAATCCATCTGCCTTCCTGAACCGCCAGATCGTCGAAGCTTTCTGCCTCCCTTTTACAGTATCCGCCTCTGCGGCCGAGAGTCGACGGCTCAGAATACGACATTGAGCGGTTTGTGCTCCACGAAGAGATATAATATGGCACCCATCTGCTTTGTAGTTGTCCCTGAAACAGCACAATCTGTCACAAACTTTCGTTCTCTGGCATGCGTAATGGACCAAAGGAGGTTTTTCCAGGGCGGAAACGAAGTCGGCGCGCCGGACACATCAAATAATGATTTCTCATGCTTGCGAGATGCTATTCGGCCAGATAGGTATTTTCTCATCAGTCGGAAACGATGAAGAAAGAGGGTGATAGACAGGGGTTGAGTACATGCACGGCGCATCTGCCTGCTGCTAGAGCCACGACATGATGCTCCGGCTTAAGATGGAGGGCTGTCGGATCCTGCCCTTGATTTGAAAGAGAGCTATACTCAAAGACGACATTGTTGGGCCCTCGAGCTCAAACCTTTCCAACACAATTTATACGGGACTATCAACTACCATGGCACCGGAACCGCGACTTGAAGCCGCCTAGTGGAATATAAAAGCCAACCGAGAAGCAAGACATCTTGCTAGAGTGTAAACCAATTCGACCAAAACGAGAAAGAGCGTCGCGTGGACTTCTGTGGTAACACCATCCACTCCTCAAACAGACTCCCCCGTCAGCCGCCATAGCGCATCGCCCAAGACTCGGGGAACTCTCGGACACCTTTGCAGAATTCACGAATAAACCATGAATGAACACAGCCAAGACGCAACCAAGCGATAGAACTAAAGAAATCCGGGCGTCATCAAATCGACGGCGTCCGTCCGAAACCCCAGATTCACAATGCATTTTATACCAGGATGTTATTTGTCTGGGTAAGATTGTAGCCAACTGTGAAAACTACCACACTTACTACCACATTTGCTGGATGTCTTCTCAATGGATAGGAAATTGATTTAAATAGGCCACAAGTGACTAACACGGCGCTCAAGGCTCATCAAGCGACTACAGCTGCTCATAATCACGGATCAGCCAAAACGAATACGACCGAGAAAGCTCACGACGACGAAAATGAAGGGAATCGGTACTTCGACGGAGCGACCTGTTCTATCGAAACCCAGATTACCATCCATTAGCGAGACGGGAGGTCAGCCGCCTTGTAGGGGAAAGCTTGCACGGAAAACATGGCGCTTCATCTTGCTAAACATCTCTTCCGACTCGAAAGATAAATGGTTTATATACCAAGCAAGGCCCATAGGTGGACGGCCATCCTGAGCCCACGTACTAGTCTCTGTCAACACACCCCGTCGACGCCTGTCATAAGAACATTACATGCCATCTAACAGTCTTCACAATGCAACAGGAGAACACGGTCATCTTGAATGATTGGAATTATGTCTATCTGACCACCGTACAAAGTGGGAGGGGAGTCTACTTTCTCAACCCTAGACCATTAAAAAAACCAAAGGCTACAGCAAAAACACGTTGAGATCATACATCTCTTTTTTCTCGTGTGATCGTCAACAGTAAAAGCCCCCCTTTTGTGAGCAAAGCGTAGTAGTAGTAATCTGTCTCACGATTGAGACAACGATAGGTATCATGGCCAAGTTCTATCTCCCGCCATCTTGCCCCGAAAAAAATCAACAAAACGCCAAAACAATGCAGAAATAGACATGGATCGAGGTCTTCGATCCGGATATCTCAGGAGACAACGCAATGGGGACCTCCGCTGGCATATGCACTTTTCTTTCTTTTCTCTTTCCTCTCAAATTCAGACTCTAACCGAATCAGCGGTTCCTCTCCAGCGACTGGAGGTTGACCAGCTCGGCGTAGCGGCCGTTCTTCTTCATCAGCTCGGCGTGGGTGCCCTGCTCGACGATGCGGCCTTGGTCGAACACGTAGATGATGTCGGCCTTCTGGATGGTGCTCAGACGGTGGGCGACGGCGATGGTCGTGCGGCCCTTGGCGGCCTTGTCGAGGGCGGCCTGCACGACGTGCTCCGACTCGGAGTCGAGCGCCGACGTGGCCTCGTCGAGGAGCAGGATCTTGGGGTCGCGGATGAGCGCGCGCGCGATGGCGATGCGCTGCTTCTGGCCGCCGGACAGGAGGGCGCCCTTGCTGCCGACGACGGTGTTGAAGCCCTCGGGCAGCGAGACGATGAAGTCGTAGATGTTGGCCTCGCGGCAGGCGTGCTCGATGGCCGCGTCGGTGACCTCGGACGCGGCGCCGAGCAGGATGTTCTCCTTGATCGTGCCCTGGTAGAGGGTGGGCTCCTGGCTGACGAGGGCGATGAAGGAGCGGTACTGGTTGACGTTGAGGGAGCTGATCTCCTTGCCGTCGATGTAGATGCCGCCGGACAGGGGGTCGTAGAAGCGCTCGAGCAGGGCGATGGTGGTGGACTTTCCGCAGCCGGACGCGCCGACGAGAGCGACATACTGGCCAGGGTGGATCGACAGGTTCAGCCCGCGGAGGACAGGCTGCTCGGGGCGGGTGGGGTAGCGGAAGTGGACGTCGCGGAACTCGAGCGTGCCGTCGACGGAGTCGAGGGCGGCGCCGTCCTCGGACCAGGTGTCGATGGTGGGCTTGCGGTCAAAGAGGATCTTCAGCTCGTTGGCGGCCTGGTGCGCCTTGCCCATGTCGGGGGCAAAGGAGAAGATGGAGCCGGCAGACTGGGCGCCGAAGATGACGGCCGAGAAACACACAAAGAACTGGAACATGTTGTACTCGAGGTCGGCAATGAGAGTACCGCCGTACCAGAAACCGAGGGCGAAGGCCAGGAACATGAAGGACTGCGAGGCGGCGAAGAGCAAGCTGGACTTGAGGATTGAGATCAAGCTCGCGCGCTGCTGGACAGCCAACGAAGCCTGGTACTGTTGGATGACGTCCTTCTCGCGAGTGAGCGAAGCGACAGTGCGGATGGCCGAGATGGCCTCAGACGCGTAGCTGGCAGAGTTGGAGTAGGCGGTCTTGGAGCGGCGCTGGAAATGCGCAAGCATCCAGAAACGGAAGAAACCGCAGCCGATGAGAATGGGGATTGTCGCCGTGCAGACCAACGCCAGCTTCCACCCGATGGCGATAGCGAGAGCCAGGGCAGCAATCAGGGTGGTAGAGACCATGAGCAATGTGCCCAGAGTAACACCACTGAGTCCGGCAAGATGGGTCGTCTCGGTCGAGAGGAAGGAGGTAAGCGCACCGGCGGTGTTCTCGTCCTTGTCGAAGAAGGAAACGTCCTGGCGAAGCATGGTGCGGAAAGCGCGATCTCTGACGCGGTGAACCAGTCTCTCGGAGCACTTGGCGAACAGAATACCCTGGATGACGAAGGCGATGAACTGAACACCAGCGAGCATGAGGTACATGGCGCTCCAAAAGTCGGAATCCTTCTTCATCTGGTGGGCGTTCTCTGGGGTGACGGGGACCGAGAGGGTCATGATCTGCTTAGCGAAGAAGACGGCCTGGGTGGGGTTACCGCCACCGCAGATGATGGAGAAGAAGAGACCGACGAGCATCAGGTGCCATTCCTGCTTGTTGAACGAGCCAATAAGCTTGATCAAAGTCCAGAGGCCGTACTTAACCTCGCCGTCTTCCTTCTTGCCCTGGAGAGCAATGCTGGACAGGGACTTGGTGGTGGAGGTGCGCGCGAGCTTGGCGGCAATGTTGTCCTCGGGGTCGGGAACGAAATCGCCCTTCTCGGAAACGCGGGACTTCTTGCGGATGAGCTCGTCATCTTCGGCGTCAATGGCGGCTTCCTCCTCGGCATCCATCTCGTTGACGCGGGCAATGTTCTGGGCGCTGACGAGGTTGTAGTAGGCTCCCGACTTCTCGAGAAGCTCGTCGTGGGTTCCCTGCTCGACGATTCTTC